GTAGAGAAGCAATGGTAAAAAAAAAAATAATAATAATAATTTCTTAACTTTTATGGCTCCACATTGTTTGTAGTTTGAGTAATTAACTACACAAAAAATTGCAAAAAAGAATTTGACTACTTGATTAAACATGTCGATATAAAGCTACTAGAAAATGTAATTAAGCTACTGGTTAAAATTACAAGTAATTCACTACTCTCCAACACTGAAAACATGTATATTAAATACATCATATGTGTGAAAGTCAGATACATTTGGATCCTGATACAGATTTTAACTTTTACAAGTATATGCAAAACATATTTTATCCACTGGCGGCACAGTGGTTAGCATTGTCGCCTCACAGCAAGAGGGTTTCTGGTTCAAACACAGGTTGGGGAATCACCTCCGTGCAGAGTTTGCATGTTCTCCCCGTGTCAGTGTGTGTTTTCTGCACGTACTCCGGCTTCCTCCCACAGTCCAAGACATGCAGGTTAATTGGTGACTCTAAATTGGACGTAGGTGTGAATGTGAGAGTGAATGGTTGTCTGTCGCTATGTGTCAGCCCTGTGATAGTCTGACGCTGTCCAGGGTGTACCCTACCTCTCGCCCTATGTCAGCTGGGATAGGCTCCAGCCCCCCCGCGACCCCCAACAGGATAAGAAAAAAAAAAATCATATCTAATACCATTTTTGTCGCAGATATTACATGCAAGATATTCCCTGTTACATTTTGTCCAAACTCTGTGATTGACCCCCCCCCTCCTCTCTACACACACAGGTTGAGGACAAGGCAGCAGGCACCGCTGTGAAGATGAAGGAGAACCCTGCCGCTTCAAAGGCGATACCAAAGCCGGTGACTGTAGTGGAGGAGTCATCAGATTTCGGTGATGACCTGGACATGACATATGTTTCAGAAACAGACTTGGATATAGCAGAGGTGGAAACATTGCCGTACACTACGAGCCCACAGACTGAGGGGCCTAAGGGTCAGAGGTCAGGGCCAGTACAGGATGGCCGTGGTCTTGTGAATGTTGGACTGGAGGCTGAGGAAAAAAAGGAGCGCTCACAGATGCCGACAGAGGCGACAGAGGCAGCGGAGGACGATTCCTTACGGCTTGTGCGAGAAATTTTTTTCACCTGATGATGAACTTTGTGGAAAACTATTGAAATGTTTGCAGTACATGTAAAATACTGCCTTAAAGGGGAATGCCACGCACGTAACAACTTCACCAAGCAGTCCAATCAGTACGCACACAGCCCCTGGAGAAGTGACCCTTTTATTGATGTCACTGGGATGTAAATCTGCCACAGCTCCACAGACTGACCCAGATTACTCAACAAAGTTATGCATTAAAATGAGATGTAAATGTCAGTTTTCAATCAAAGGATTCCAAACCCCATTTTGTTGAGACAGCTCTATCAAGCATCTTCCAGTGTGGCTTCACGAGGTCTGAGGTCAATTCAGTGTTAATGGAGCTGCTGAATGTTTTAGTTTGAGTTAACAGTCTAATGAGCTAACATGGATTAATGGAAATTCCCCTCACACAGATATTGTAATATTTAGTTTAGTTCAGCCTTGTTTAAGTGAAGACTGGAGCCAGAACTCTTTTGATGTTGAGATAATTAACAGAGCGGATCCTTTGATAATGAATGTAAAGCTGACTGTAGCTGTGGTAATGTTATAGTACATCACTGCAGAGTTTCTGTGGTCAGAGAGACATGCTTCAAACACTGTGCCTGCTTATGTTTTCATGAGCAAAGCACTGAATACTTGACACTGAGGTTGTGCTAATGTACAGAGCTCTGTGCTGCAGCTGCAGCTGCACCCAGGGCCTTTTTGTATGAGTTCAGACAAACAGATATTTTTATCAGTGAGGCAGCTCCAAGTTTTCTCGATGACTGCATAGATTAAAGGGTCACATTGATGTTGAACTGGAAGATCACAGAGTATATTCTTGTATTTAAATTGTAGTTTATGCTAATTAGATGTTGTTGTTTGTCCACTTCAATAAATGATGAAGTAGCAGCCCTGTCATAAACCTTTGTGTGGACTCTAACAGCTGTCAGCACTTGCTCTTCTACTTCACTACCTTTTAAAATTGTCTTATTGGAAATACAAAAAAGAACAGAAGCCCTTTTTACAAAGTGCTACTCTCCTGAGCACCTATCCACCAGCTGTGCATATAGGTCATATTTCTTTTTAGTGATATATTTATTTAAACAGTTGATAATCACCTTCACAAACCGGTCTGCCCAGAATTCAGAAACACTGTTACAGCACACAGCAGCTATTACAGTGTGCTCCAGTCTATTTACAGAAAGAAGGGCAACAGGTTCATTATAAAATTTGTCATAACACTCTTGGATTTTGGACCCAAAACAAAGATTATGCCATCATTTAGTGGAAATATAACAACGAACATGTAACAAAATTGTCAAAAAACAAACACTGCTTTCATTATACCTTCATCAGGCACTTCAGCTTCACGATTCAAGTTTCCCTCCTGCTAACAGAGTGAGGTTGACTTCTCATCTGGATCCATCTACTCCCAGTCAGACGTTAGCCTCCTCCCTAACAGCCAGCTCAGCACAGTTATAACAGCCAGCTCAACCTGCACACCCACACAGATATAGAACCCGATGGTCATGCGTTCCGAGCTCACATACGACCAATAGAAAATCAGAAAGCCTACAATGCCGGTCAAGATGAGTAGGCTTGATGCAGCCTGGCTGGCCATGCTGAACCGGAGTGCTGCTTTGTCCTTGGCGTAGGCCGCTAACAGCATCGCCAGCAGGGCAAAGGCCACAAGCACCAGAGGAACATATAAAATCAGGATAAGCACTATTGAGGGGGTATCCATGTTACCCTCAGATTCAGCTCCACTGACATCACTCTGGTACCACCAGTGAAAGGGGCTGATGAGGGCGTCGTCGGAGAAGATGAACACACCAGCAAAGAGCATCAGAGAGGTCAACATCTGAGTGAGGATGAGCAGGAGAATCAGCGAAATCCAAAGAGAGAACGCTGTGGCTTTCCTCACAGAGAGAGCAGCCATATCTGAAGATGTTTAAGGCCTTATGTCCCCTGACCTGTAGATTTAATATTCAGGTTGACAGAAATCAACACAAACATTTAATCAATCAAAAAACATTTGTAAGAGTGGTGCCTGTTAAAAAAGGGTGAAGACATGTAAGCTGGGAATACCAAAAAGAAATCCCACCTAAAAATCTAAAAACTACCTCAAGTGTTATTTTAGAACTTGTTATATATGTATGTTGTATTGCTGTAAAGAAAACGTGTTGCCAAGTAAAATAACTTAGAAACGTTGGACCCTCAAACACATCAAGAACGCCTACCTCACTTCGACATGCTCAGGTAAAATGGGACAGTCATGTTTGTTTTTTTAAATTGTTAAATCCATTTATCAGTTCAGTCATTAATTCATGAAATCATTAATGTAACCTAACTATTCATTAAAAAAGATTTTCCACCTTTTCCGCCATGCTCTTCCTGTTCTTTTGCTGCCTGTGTTCTTAGCGCCATATCGCCTACAATGGACAGGCGCATATGTGTGTGTGCTTACGTGCTCACTGCATCATCTTTAATATTTTTAAGTGACAAAAATACTAAAAATGTCTATAATATGACAAGATGGCACACAGTAACATAACACACGGGCCATGCTGCCTGCGTGAACAGCGTGTATGCATAGCAGGTTGGAGCTGCTGCTTCGCTGCAGAACATCTAGATTTTAGAAGCCTCGCCTGTTTTGTGTGCCGCGGTTTTCAGCAAACAGACAGTCACATTGGTCTTTTGATGCTCACACTTACATAATACCACCTTTAGCTGCAGTTGCAATGTCAAAATCTGTCACAGACATAAAATAATACATACATTTTTATTATTAACTCAACCCAAACTGTTTCCATTTCAAAATAAAAGCCCTCTGACAACGTTTTTGTCGACTGAATCCCTTCATTTATTAACATGATGCTTTTTATTGTGAACCGTGTTGTTGAAATGCAGTGGCTTGCACGGCTCCATAAATAAGTGGAGTACTCACTTTTAATTGTATTGATACAGTAGTTATAGCAGCAGGCAGCTCTTCAGCAGCAGGAAAAATGTCCCATTAAGTGCACGCTCAAAACCCTCAACCATAGAAAATAAAGTGTAGTATTAAAATAATATGATTATAAGTCAAACAGTTAATAAAATGCAACATCCTAACCATTTTGTTGCTATTATTGTTTTAGCTGCAGTACTCTTATTACCACAAAGGGAAAATCAACATGCCACTTGGCTTGCAAGCTCTGGGTCCAGTGATGTTTTGCTCTGAGCTTCCTAGTTATCTCAGACCAATCAAAACAATGGTTTCACTTGTAGAGCACTCTTATAGTGACAATGTTTATAGAGCCATATATGTAAAATTGTAAATGTCCCATTTTACCTCATGCCCCACAATACCTGACTTCATCCTACAGAAAAACATAAATTAAATAAGCCTGCATGGATTAACTGCATTATCATGTGAGTGATCTTAATGACGCAACCACCAAATGGGACAGCTGCCAGCTTGTCAGCATTACAAACTTGTCCTACAGCAACAAATGTGTCACGGATTTAATATTTAACCAAGTCAGCTGATCAGGATTCATTTGGCAGTTTCCTCTTCATGATTACATTACATTTAAATGGAATTGACTTCGGTCAATTCCGTGAAATCAATGGAATTAACTCAGTGAAATCCCATTAAAATGAAAGTGTGACTTCAAAGAGCTGTAAATAATGATCATTCTGAAACCTAACAGAATGGTGATAAGTCAGAAACATGGTGACAGGTGAAGCTGCTTTGTCAAGAATAAATCCTGATTCATGGCTGACTGCTGATGTGATCCAGTAAAGTTAAATTAGTGGATTAATTCTGCCTTGTTTACTTACGTTGGTTGAAGTCTGGTACAGGAGAAGTGTGGGGGCCCGGCGTTGGTGCGCGACACGCGCATAGAGCGTGACCGCGCACGGTGCGCAGCGCCGCTTGCAGGAGTCAACTCCGCTGGTGCACGCTGTCTTCGACAGTTTGACGTGCGGACTTCTCCAAGTTGGAAGTGCGAGATCAACCGCAACTTTATCTGCTTTCACTGCAACGCAAACAGGTTCAAAAGGTTGGTTCCTATTTCTGATTTCACCTTATACCCGCAGCTGTTTTTTTTTTATTCCTGTACAGTTTTAGATTTATTTTAAGTTTGTTGAACACGAGAGGGAGGCGGGGTCGTCTGCAAGGGTTTCTTTGTTCGTTTTTCTTTGAGCAACAATTAATGGCAATTTGCACACGGATGTTTGTGTGGATATAAATCATAATCGGCATATTTGTCATGTCATGTGTTAGATATGAAAAGAGTTTGAAGTGTATGTTGAAATTCATGGTTCAGATGAGAAGCACAACTGGATCAAGGTGTGGTTGTTTAATAGAGTCATTTTAAAAACGCAAACAACAAAATCACAAACCACCGTTTCCCTGACATGGCGTCTGTACAGTAATATTAACTGGCAAACGTTTTCAGTGCATGTCTAAACGTGTCCCATCTTTTGTTTGTAATGGAGTTGGGACGTGAGAGGTGGCATGCAGTGCAAAGCAGGCCACAAACACATAATCAATCAGACAAATGCTTTTTAAATTTCCTTTGGGCACTCTGGAAACATTGATGATAAACACACGCGTGAATCCCGACACTACACAGCACATGCTGTACATGCATAACGGGAAGGGCACGAGAGAACACAATGTACCATAACACATACACACACACACTGGGATATTTTTTGCTCAACCAGTTAAGTAAACCCTGACAAGTATAAGCAAGTGTCTGTCTTTACTTGTGTTTGTTTTTGTGACCTTGATCCGTTGTGCATTCATGAATTTGGAAGAAAAACTCCATCTGATATGACAATGCCTGGAATAGGGATCTTATGTAATATTGAGCAAAAGAGAAGCGTGTATTTACTTTTTGTAGCCACTTCAGGACCAGAATTCGATGTTTAATCTTTTAAAAGTAATTTTAATCTCATTTTGAACTCTCTCTACAGGTTCATCATGGGAGCTCGCTTCAGCAAAGCGCGAGAAGCCCCAGCCACTCCTGCTGAAACTGCTGTCCCTGAACAGAAAGCTGCAGCAGAGCCAGCTGCCACACAGCCAGCCGGAGACTCTGGACCACCACAGACTCAGGAGGCTGTCAAGACAGAAAATCCTGAGGTGGTGTTGGGGGAGGCAGTGACAGTGAAGGCGTGTTTACCCAATGAAGAATGTGTTGCGGAGTGCAAACCTCCAGAGGCTCCTGCTGCCTCAGACCCACTAACTGATGCTGAGCCAGAGGCTGTGGCAAAGGAAACCCCAGCTCCAGTCCAGCCTGAGCCTGTGGTCTCAGTCAGCAAACCTGAACCTGTTGCTGAAGCTCAGCTTGCTCCAGAACCTGTTCCCGAACCAGAGCCTGTGTCCGAACCCGAGCCAGTTCCCGAACCAGAGGCAGAAGTCGAGACAGTCCCTGAACCCATCTCAGAATCAGTGCCAGCCCTAGCTGAAGCTCTGGAGCAGCAGATAGACCTGCTTAACCAAGAGTCCCTCCCTGAGCCTCTGGTCGACCTTGGTGTCCCTGATGTAACTCCCCCAGCTGCTGACATTGCTGCCCCAGTCATTGCCGACGAGCCCTTAGACATCCCAATGGCCGAGGCATGCCTCGAGAGTGCTGAGGTTTCCGTGATTCCTGCATTTGAGCTGGAAAGGAGCGAGGAAACACCCGAATCTGTGGAGAACCTGATAGAGGTGGAGGCTGGCGGCAACTTGGAGCAGCTTGTGACCGACGTCAACGAGGAAGATGTCCGTGGACTGCTGAAGAACTTAGAGCTGAAAGGAAATGACCTTGTCGCTGACCTCATTCCCACCGATGACAAGATCCCCGATGGCGTGAGCGCATCCACTGAGCTGATGTGAAACCGTGGAAGAGGATGCATTAAAGAAGTGAACGGATATTGTTCTGTGAAACCCTCTTAACCCCTTACATGCATTCTGAAAGAATCACAGGTGCAATGTTTTCTCTTTCTCACTTAAGTGGCCAAATAAAGGCAAAACAACTCTTTTTCTCTTTCCAAATCAAATGTGCCAAAAGAAGAAAAAAAAGGGTGTGTTGGTGGGGGTTTAACAGCACATGGGGTTATGAGTGTACTTAAGTGTATTGCTGGACAACGGAGATCTTCCTCTATGCAAATTCACCAAGTGAGAATTTAAATGCATTTCTTTGAGAGACTTGAAGAAAACAAAGCCATTGCTATGTAACAACTCCCTACAGAAAAAAGGTTGAAGTATGGTGTTGATCGAGTACAAAAGGGGAAAAGCAAAAGCTTTTTGGTGGATGTGTAAGTCGGCAGGGGACAGAGGCAATGCAACCAAAGACGGAGACAGTACATGCATACCGCTATACAGCAACAAACAAGTGTCCAATAAACATTTATGCCTTAACATTGTCATGGACTTTGTAATATTCCTTATCTTTATTGTATTTTCAATACAGTTATGGGATTTGTTAACCCAAGTAGTGGCTTGCTTGTGAAAATAAAAATATTATTCTCCATGTGTTATAGTCATGGTCCCTGATTTACTTTAATTAGAGGGAATATGTTGAAGATCAAGATAAAGGCGAGATGGTGTTATGTAACCATAGGTGTAAATATTGAAGAGGACGGAGGGAACACAGCCCCCTCAGTATTTAGAACGTGCCTGTCCCCTCCAGTGAAACATGAAAGCAGCAGAGGACTTTTATTTTGACAAAAATTAAGATATTTACACCATAAATTGATGCAGAAAAGGCACAAATTGGTGCAAAGGCCTCACCAGAACGCAGGAAATTCAGGCGCTAAATTTTCTGGTATCAGACCCCCTAACTCCCCCAGTTCCATGCGTCCCTCCAAATGTTGAAATGAAACCTACACCCGTGTGAGGCCTGAAAAGCTGCAGAAGCTGTAAGCTCGTCCCATCACTCTGAACGCACAATACGATTTGGCCGGCCTCAACAGTGCGAGTATGGTTTTGTTAAACGCACATATTGGAACAATTGGAGCCTTCTCCGACACAGAGCATGTTCTATAACACACCAACACATGTATGGGACACAGTGTACATATGGAAATCAGATTCCAGCCAACACAACACAGATCGCACACGAGAGACAGTGCCTCCTCACAGTCTCGTGGGAGAGAGGACGAGAGGGAAGGGAGGGAGGGAGGGGAAGGAGGGGGGAGGAGAGAGACGAAGCCACATTCTTTCCAGAGGAAGGAGGTTTTCGGGGGGCTTGGGTCAAAAGTCTCGAGTGTGACTGTGTTCCAGTCCATGAGAAATCTGCTCCTCACATGCCTCTCCCACCACACTCCCTCTGCCCTCACTGCGTTGCTATCCAACATCTTGACCGAGTAGTCAGTGGATTGGTATGAGAGGCCACTTCATCCTGCCTACATGTGAAACTTAGAAAAATAACTGTTGACCTTGCCAATGTGACAGCATTATTACCCAAGGACGGAGGGAAGGACTGCAAGATGTGCAACGTGGAGCTGCTCCATTTGAATTTGAACATACACTAATTAATCTATAATCATCATGCATCACTTAATGCATTCTAAAGTTTCATAATCATAAGTCCCACTCCTAACAAACATTTGTCTAGTCTAGCCACACCTAGCGTTAATCTACGCCTCGAGGCATGGCAGCAGGGTAAGTCCCATGATTTTGGCAACACACTGATGAGTCCCCATGGAGAGGGAGAGGCACTCTTTAGACAGTGATCTCAGTCAAGCTGGCCTTTAGTGGAGGATACAGTTAGCACACGGAGCTGCGTCTTGATGCTCACTGAGAATAGATAAACAGCCCGATTTGCACTATTTGTGATTCCTGTCATACCAGAGGCTTTCAGCTCAATAAACAAAAGTGCTGGACTTGAGTCTCCCCCTCTTGATGTTGATTTCCTGCCCTGCTATGGTCTCCAAAGGCCAGAGCACAAAAACAAGGAAAATATTACACTGTATGTCAGCGAAGGAACGCACACACTGTGTTTGTTTTTTAAAGGTTAGAGCAGAAACTTATTTGCATTATTTTTTTGTTTTCCTAAAGTATCTTCTTGTTAGAAATAAGCAATGTGTGTATAACCAAAGTAATGGTGCACTATAGAGCTGAATTTACAGTAACAGCTCGAACGTAACATCACATCCAATTAGATGTACCATTTCCATTTCTGCTGGACATTTTGACTATTTAAAAAACTTTATTTGCTTCTTTGATAAATTAAAGGGGCACTGCGCCCATTTAAAAATTCCATACATGTTACTTCCATGGTCTAAGACAGTTCAAACATATTAGCACACATGAACAACTCCCTGTCAAACAAAAAAAACTAGAGTGCTAACACTCAAACTTGTGACGTAATCAAGAATAAAATCTGGAGCTGCTCCACTGACAATAAATTGGGAAAGATGTTGATGACTTTGAGAGCTGCTAGAGGAATTTTCTGAGTATATGGAGTCATTTTCTGTTTCACAACTGAGAACACCACAGCAGAATAAAGCTCATTTTAGTGTAAAAAAGAAAACAAACATTGTGGGTGGGTCTATGGAGCAACTCCAGACTTGATGCCCTTTGAGATCCCGAGTTTGAGACTTACTTCTCTGCTTTCTGGCTTTGAGAGAGAGAAGCTGAAGTTCACAAATATTGATCAAACTCTCTCAGGCCATGGACATAACATACTGGAATATTTAATTTGGGTGGTGTTCCGCTTTAAAGTACAATCCAAACTAGTACACAGCAAATCCGACCTGCCCTAAACAACAGGTATGACACAGAACTATTACAAAATGTTTACCGAGGTGTTGAGGGCTGGGCCTTTTTACTGCCACAACTCATCCACACACTGTACTGTTGCAATCAAACCTAGCAGACCTACATGTGGCAACAGCGTGGTGAGGATTCATCAATAGGTGGTACAACAACAAAACACGATTTTGAAATGGGCACACTTCAAAGGTCACTTAAAATCTGGCACAACTGATCCTCACAAACAGTCCCACTGGTTTCTATTTAAGACTTTGTACTGTGAACATAAAGTAAATAGCATCTGCAGCTATATTTCTAATTTAAAAAAGTTTCTGAAAGTCTGTTTCAGATACGAGAGCAACTTTGACAGAGACGACACTGACTGAGAAATGTAACAATCTCAAACTAATTTAATTTTTAAAAATATAACGAAAAGAAACAATTAACAATATCTATCAAAGCACTTAAAACTGAAAAAAACTATTTTTAAAACAGTGTAAACTATTAACCAAGAACTAACAATCGTTATAAATACTGAGAGTACAATATGAGTATATGAAGTAAATATTCCTTTTTTTTTTTTTCAATCAATACAGTGTGAAGAGAGTCGAGGCTGTTATTTACAGGATCTCAGGACCAGGATTATTCACAGCCAGAATCCTGGGCTTTAACTTTCTGCAGGCAAAGAAACAATCGGGCAGTCAGTCTAAATGCAATGTGACATTTATGATGGAAAATATCAAATGTCTTACGTAAAGGTCCAGTGTGTAGGATTTAGGGGCATCTATTGCCAGACATAGTATATAATATTCTATGTTTAATATTCTATGACAATGTTTTCATTAGTTTATAGTCACCTGAAACTGATAATTGTTGTGTTTTTGTTACCTTAGAATGAGCCGTTTATATCTATATCCTCTTCCACACACTCCACCATGTTGTTCTACAAAAACCTAGAACAGGCAAATCAAACACTGGCTCTAGATTGGGCCATTTGCTGACCACCGTAGTTTTCCTTCACGCTTGGCAAACTGGATAAGTTTTAGTTCTGCAACCTCTCAGCTAGATGACACTAAATCCTACACACTGGACCTTTACGGAAATGTTCTACTGTTACCATTAGCCTCCTGTATTTCTTTGCTAGGTCAACATTGGTGCGTCCAGGCTGGAAGGGGTACGACCACAAGATAGAGTTCCAGGAGAGGCCGTAAGTGTTCACTCCGCTCAGAAGGTAATTTACCTCCTCACGGCTGAAGTCATTCCTCTTCCTTTTCTATGAAGAATAACAGAGAGGCAGAAGAGATTACACAGCTGGACAGAAGACTGTGGATCACAGGACAAATAACGTGCATGGATGCACATTTGACATCATTCAGCATATTGCGTTTGCCTTCTCCACCGACACATGGGCTAGTTATTAAAGCTCTACTTATCAGAATAATAAAATATAAAATAGATGCTAGTTTTCAGTTATTTTTCCCTGTTTAAAACCATCTGTTAAACACGCCTATGTGACTGATGTTAATAAGAGCATTCTGGTGGTTTTGCTCACTTCAGCTCATTATCAACACATTGCATAAATTACTCCCAGACATTCTGCACAGCATATCGTACAGTTTTAAATTGATTTCAAGCCCTTAATTGATTTCAACTCATTTCAGTACCCTAATGAACGTGTTGAGACTTGTTTGATGTTGTGTCATTTCTATTTGTGGCAGTTACATTATAATTGCATGGCGCTGCAGTCACAAGGATTGTTTTACAAGTCCTCCTGATGGTGTGTTCAAGGAGGCACGGACATCTGTGTTTCAAGACTCTGCTGCTGACTATCAACTTGTTATGATGATGATGATGAAATTCATACTATGCTTTACAGCCAGTTGCTCACAGTGTATCTCAATTAAAGTTGATTTGAAATTAGAGTTTGAATTAGAGTTGATTTTGAATTAGTTGATTTAATTTCACTGAAATGACACACATTGCCTACAATTGATTTTCTTGTTTCATCACATACAGGCATACATTCAAACATCTTTTCTGATTTGTACGGTGGATTTGGTCTCACTTTAAATCAATTTTGCATCTCAGTATCACTGTTTGCGGTGTGCAGGCGATGATATATGGGAGCATCTGAGCATAATGATTCACAGGAATTGGGCAAGCTGAAACTGGGAATGGGAAATGACTCTCAAATCCCATCCCTGTTTTTCACTGTACATTCCTCCTTTTATTCCTCAAATATTTTTCCACTTAAACGCACCACAGCACGCAATCATAGCATCAAAAAACAGTTGGAAAACCTGACAGACCATATAATAAATATCAATATATTCTTTTAAACTCTTACAGTGGAACAATGATCCGCGCCAGCCCTTGGCTCGTCGTCAAGAACGCGATTTCCACTATTATTCCCTCCTCTTCTTTCTGTATTTGAAACATAAAACAGTTTGTGTGTGAGAAAGACTCAGAGGTTTCCAGGTTGTTGCTGTCTTTTGAGTAACTCATTCTGTTACTTAACAACACATCAGCTGGCCCAAGACTTAATATAAGAACAGACAACTTCTCTCTTCTTGCCCTACTCCTCCTTAGAGCAGTGTTACATTATCAGTTATGTTATGTATACAGCTGCCATACTAACAATAGTCCAGGAGAAGAATGACTGACGTAGAAGGAAAGACAACATTAAGGGAAATAAAAATATAATTGGAAAGAGATGGGCGTATAAAAACAGCTCAATAGAACAGACAGAGTATGAAAAGGTGGACTGCGCAGTGGAGGAAAAACCAGTTGTAAGTGTGCACTCACACTGAGTTAGCATTGGAAAATGCATTTGGCTGAGAGGTATAAAGATGCAGTAAATCTCAGCATGACAGCAGGGAAAGACTGCACTCCACAACAGTTCCTCTGCGCCCATGTTGCAACACTACAGCAACTTCTCGGCTACAGAATGTCTGAGTAAAAGCATGAGAATTTGCAAAACTGGAAAGCTGGAGGAGGAAAAACTCAACTGCTGGCAAATACAGCCACAGAACATATGAATATATACTTCTGATATACAATACATTGGATGTAACGCAAGTACAGAACAAGCATCATATTGTGGAACAGACTAAAATGCCTCTCCTTTCAACGCCATGTCACTGGCTTAATACAAAAGCATCAGAACACACCCTTTTCAAACTCTCTCTCTCTGTCTCCCTCTCTCAAACACACACGCACACACACATACAGTGCTATACAGAGTGTGAAACAGCTTAATACAGCTGTGCTGCTCTGAACCAGCTCTGGCCTGCACTGTGAGAACACTGGCTGCAGTTCAACATTCCTTCTGCTCTTTGGTTCGTGTGCTGCCAAGAACACACTGCAGAGGATAGCTCCCACCACAGGAGCTCAATCATAACATTCACACACACTTAAAGTAATCTACTGTAAATACGTATATCTGATATCACATAGATACCTTCAGGAAGACGAGACCTTTTCAGCGGAATCAAGCCTGAACCTGAGAGGAGGAGTGGTTAGATCAATGCTTTTAAATATGACAAATATACTGTAAAAGACAACAACAAATGATATGTTGCTGTGTGATGTCACGTTCATACCGGTCAGTGTCTCATTTTTAGCTCCTCTGCGCATTGGGGTCAAAGTGATGCCTGTGGTGGAAGAAGACACCCAAAATACATACATAACATACATATTGTACATGTGTGTTAGTTCAGTGGTTAGATAATCCACTTCCTGCATAACTCTTACCATTGTGCTTCTTCCAGTGGTGTTCTGGCAGGCAGCCTCTCCCTGCTCCTTTACGTATGGGAGTTAGGCTGACCTCTTTTATAGTGAAATAGAAATCAGACATTTATAGTAGTAGTTGAAGACAATTGTGTGTATTTCATGCTGAGGATATTAAAGCAGTTATTAAATAATTGACGGGGAAAATAAAAATGAACTGTGCCATAAAAACAGTTTGGAACAACAGCGACATGCATGAGGCATATTTACTGTCTGAAAGGTTCTCTCATATTTAATCAACTCCAGACATGATCTCATGTATTCACTGTAAAAGTTTTTACATGAATCTTGAGGTTCAGAGGAGATGTTACTAGTCTCCACAGTTTACAGATGCAAACTTTAAATGCTGTCAAGCGATTAAAGAATGAGTTAGAGGTATACTACGCAGGATTGTTGGTTACTATTTGTAAACACACTTGCCAGCAAAAATGAAAGTAAAAGCCAACCCCAGATTCACCCCCATTTGGCATTTCGCCTCATAATATTCACGTTTTTTGGCGCTGTGTCTATTGGATGCCTGCTGCTTTTGGTCTGGCAAATGGTTGCTACCTTTTTATAAAGTCTCGACATCACCTAAGCACTGGGGGTGCTACATGCCCATAAACGTCCCAAGTCCAGAAAAGAAGATGAAAATAAGAAAATACAGGCAGAGGGCAGAGTCTCTGCAGAAGAATACACTGCCACACACTTCTAGTGGGGCATAAGTGATGACTGAAAGGTTTACTTCATTATGAGTCTATACATTGGTTTTTGGGAAAATCCTGTGTAGTATATTTTTAAGCAAAATACCCATAACTCAGTGTGCAGTGTAAATTAGGGGCAAAGTCTGAAGGGTAACCCCACCCAGTTTTTAATATTCTTATATTTTCTTGCCAAGCGCAGTAATACTCAGCCCATGTCACAGCAGCACTTTAGACATATCATAGTGGGTCAGGTCACAAAATGTAGAACTTGAGCACTCATAAAATGTCAAAAAACTGCCAAGACAAAGCTCAGTGGAACATGCACTCCCATCTAATTATGAGGTTACAAGGTTCATTTATTTGTTATTTTACAACACAGGGTTGCACAATAAAATGCAACTTGAACCCCTTTCACACTACTCACACACAGAGCAGTTATTTTATAATTATTTTATCACTGCACCCACAGGAAATACTGTGGGATAAACATATATGAAACAGCACTGAGCTTCAACAAGTGCTTCACACTGAGTGAGTGAGTGAGACACTGCAAGACTGGAACCACACTTTTTTAATAAATCGTTGATAAATTTGCTAATTCAAATGTGGACACCTCTTACCTCTCCAGTTTTCCCTGCTTCTCTGTGGCTCTGCAGCTAAAACTCCCTCAGAGTCTGGATCTGTGTGCTCCACAGCGTCGTCTTGGTACTCTCTCCCGAACAGAAGGTTGCAGCGACGAGTCCTAAACCGCTCTGTGGCCTCCTGGAGAACCCTGTGCATGTCACAGTTGTGTTGGCAGGAGCCTTGGAGAGACTCAAAATTGCGACTGGTCACTTCCTCAAAAGGCAACACACAACCTATAGGACAGAAAGAACAGGGATGCGAGGAATTCACTTGTGAAAATTGGCTTTAAAATAACCAAACTGATCGATCCTGCAACATTTAGAAACAAAAATATAATAATAGTGATTATTTGTATGGCTTTATTACACAGTCCCAAGTGTCCAATCTAGGCCTGGACATGTAGAGGACAAAGAAACACAAAATGTACTTGAAATAATACATACACATAATAAAATATTACACCGACACAGAACTGAATATGTCTGTATCTACTTTGTTAAAACTTTAAAAATGTACTGCTCACCTCACCTTTATTCTTCACATTAAGGTAAGAAAAAGATTTTTAGACAGACAGCATTACAAAGGCTGACCCATACATTAAGCTCACTTGAACTCTCAGTAACCATTTGATAATACAAGATGGGAAGCATCTCACTGAGTGGCAGCATCATGTTCTCCTACCTGTGCACCGGATAGTACAGACTGAGTGCTCCTCCTTAATCATCTCACTGTCCTGCAAATCTTAACACAAAAACATACATTTTTTAAAAAGCATGTTAGAAAATGCACATTTACTGAAAAACAAAAAAAGCTAAGCTAAAGTATGTTACAGTCATGAAGCTATGACTCTTACCTTCTTCATCAGTACATTTCATTTCTGTTGGTACACTGTGTCTCACTGGTGCTAGAGGCATAAACAACTGACTGAACAAAAACAGATGAAAACGTCATTGTGAGAGCTATTATTTCATTAGAGGTTTTTCTCATTAAGAGGTAATCAACACTGAGACTCTACTGACTTGTCTTCTGTGTGAGGCTCTCTGGCTCCCTCTAGTGGTCGCAGATTGGGAGGCATTAGGAATCCAGTACCTTTGCACACTGAACAACACACACTCCCACCACTGGTTTTGAGTTTATTGTCACTCCTCTTCTTGATCACATTTCTGACTGTTTGAAGTTTATTGTTGTTGCCATCCCTTGTTTCTACATGCTTAACTGTGTTGTTCTGTCTGTATTCTGTGGGAATGGTTTTCATGCTCTCCTGCTGCAGAGGCAAAGGTGAGGCTGCAGGGAGAGATGGCATGCCCAGTCCTTCGGTCAGAGTTAACAGATCTGTGTCTTCCTGCTCATCCTCAGCCTCCTAAAAATTTACAAAAGTGCACATCATGAGTCACCACACTACATGCTGATTATACTGTGGCTGTGTGTATAAATCCATGTCTGACCTTTGCCTGTTTCCTCTCTAGCAGGTCAATCCTTCGCAGCAACTCTCTGGCTGAGCTCCTGAAGCCTTCCATGTTTATAAGGGGCTCCATACTGTCAGCCTCCCCCTGTCTCGCCATTAGACCAGGCACACCAAGGGACATGGCTTCATGGACAAAGACAAATAAGTAATTATGAGAACTACATATTCTGCATTCAACCCACATGTTGTTTAATCACTTATTCTATTTTATTCATTTGATTTAATTTAATTTTGATTTAATAACACTGCTGTAACACCCATATTCCACACAGACAGGCTTAGAAAAGAAATTAACCATGTTCTTTACTGCCTCAAGACCACACTGCTACACTGAGAAATTAACTTTTTTGTCCACCTGCCACTGTGGCTCATGGATTCCAAAACCTACCAGCCACTGAAAAGATTACCACTGTTTTTTTGGCTGGTGAGTGAAGCAAATCTAGCATGTATTTGCATATTTTACCAGCATTTGGCTGGTGGCTGGTGCTAATTTCCAACTCCGACACTGAGCCATTTGATGCTTTCCAATATCTGTTTCTATTTAATATGCAAAAGAAAGAAAACATTTAGGTTATATAATGTTTCAAAAGTAAAATTCACGCTTGCCATTATACATGTCAACACAGAAAGAAGTGATTTTTTGCCATGGCACAAATGAAGCACTTGCATTCCTTGTGTATCAGTGTTAAATAACAATATCACAGAGTGACTTTGAGCCTACAGTGATGACTTACTGGCCTTTTTGCAGGTCTGCAATATGAATGTAGCAGCCTTCCGAACCTCCTCACTTGTATCCTCTGTGAGGAGGGTTATGATGAGGGAAAGGCCTCCACACTGCACCAACTGGGACTGGTGCTCCTCTACAGACAGGAAGAAACACACAGTTGTAAAAAAAAGACACGAATAGCATAAATATCCAAGCTGTACTCTCAAGGGAAGGAAAACTGTTGAGGAATAGTGGCTGAAATTCTCTGAAATGTTCAAAATATAAAGTGGAAACACAATCCAACACCACCAGCACGACTGTGCAGTCTTACCAGAGGTCTCGGTGCAGTGGCCCAGGGTGAGTAAAACTGAGAGCCTGTCCTCTGGGTCTAGGTGTGGGCTCACCAGCAGGGAGAAGAGGTGAGAAACCACACCATACTGAGCCAGACCCGAAGCCAGAGAAGCTAGAAAGAATAGATTGTTAATGGAAAAGGACACATTTTATTTGTCTGAGTGAACTGTTAACATGTACGTATATGTGTGTGTGAGAGTGATACGCACAGTTCTCTGTGATGCAAGCGGACAAGGTCTTGGATATAGTGACAGAAAGCTGGCAAGACAAAAAGCTTGTGCCTGCTGCAGAAGCCAGACGAACCAGTGAAAGAGTGAGAGTATCCAGACCCCCTGAGGCGGAAAAACTCTCCTGAACACAGGCTGCAATAACAAAAAAAAGTGATGAGCATTTAATTATTTGGATTTTAGCATCCAGATGTTTGAATGTTTTACATAATAATAAAAAATTCAAAAAGTTTAGCACAAGCTATTCTGCCCCTTTCACTTACAGTTGTTGGCCACTGTCATTGCTATGAAGGAACATATGGGCTGAAAAATCTCAGTTCGTGGCATATCAATCTGCTGAAGCCAGACTTTAATTATGGGAAAGGCTGATACACAAATACGCTGACCATCCTCTGGAAGACAAGAGACGCAACTAAGAAAAACAGTTTTCGCTCTTAATCCAGATAGAGACTTGACTTGAAAGTAATTTCCTGAATGTCAAGAGCATCAATGTTTTACATATTAACTGTTGAGTACAGAGCACAAATACACAGATGACATTACCATTCTGAGGGTTGTTGACACATCCACAGAGAGCACTAGACACAGATGCCCAAAGTTGGTAGGTTTGAGTAGCATTAGCTGCTCTCAAAGAAGCCTCTGTGCAGAGAGGGGAAGTGGTCCTGCAAAAATGTATACAGTACTATTAAACTTATACCTGTGTGGTTATATGAGTGAGGTTATTTCATACAATTTTTGTCAAGCCTATGTAAACTTGGCATGACAGATGACTGCTGTTTAGAACTGCAAATTACCTAAAGAGGTCCAGTAGAATATCCAGACAGCCAGTGGTTTGGCTTAAAGTCTGTCCTGATTCTGCAATAGCAAATAGACACGTGAGAGCTACTACTGAACATTTTGTTCCACATATATAAAATGGCTTTCATAACTAAACAAATAACATGTCATGTGAAGTGACAGAAAAAACATCACATCAATGAGACAACTGATCGTGCAGCTTTAACTCATGATGTCAGTAGAGGAGCCTTGATCTTACTGTTGTTCGCTACCAACACAGACAGTAAATAGACAGACACTCTCTTCTGTGTCACTGGGATGTCTTCTTTTATCATCATATCAGCAAGGTCTGCAAATGTCTCCTTTCTGCACAGAGAATTCTTGCAATACACTAAAGGAAGGAAAGATAAATAGTATATTATCAATATGTAAAACTGCCATTTACTCTAAAACAACTTACACTTGAAAATAACACATTACACCAATACAGTGACGTTATTTACATATGACGACTGTACATAGGTTTGCTGTATACCTAAATAAATTACACATATGCTATATATGTCATGACAAGGTGACAAAGTTATCCTATGTGTGTCATTAGCTGCGTTCAGTATTCCATAATCTACAGAAAAATGAAAAATAATAACATAAACAAAGTACAGTGTTTGCCATTTATCTATTATTTGTTTGTGCCCATCTTTCTCATTGATATTTACCACTTAATAACCTGTTTGGGGGCAATTTCCTGCCTGTAAACCTGAAAATTTTCAAACTTACAAGTTGAAAATAACCAACTTAATGCATCCATAGTTTTGGTCCCTGTAAGTCTGGACTGTCTCATTTGGGGACAACGTGCATATTCATTCTAGACTTAAACTGCTGCAAAGGACATGACTTCTTTTGGACTGCATCCTTCACAAGATAGGCCCCTGAATTGGGATTCAGCAGCTATCACACACACACACACACACACACACACACACACACACACACACATGCTTACCATTGGCCTCGGCTAACGTGCCAAGCGTAAAGAGTGCAGTCTCCTTAACATCTGAGCGAACAATACTGGATTTGGAGAGGTTGTACACAAATGCCACTCCTCCCATTTCCCGCAGCAGGTCCACATTATCCTCTGAAATAATGGAAATTTAAAGTGAAACAGACAGTGGAAATCTATCATCAAATGTATCAGTGTGTTATGCTGAATATGTAAATGCATCACTGACTTCAATTATTAGAATGTAAGTTGTTAGTCAGCGAGACGTGACCAGTGTGATGGGGCTGTAGGAGATGGTGTGTGCAGGAGATGGTTAAAGGCGAGGACATAGTGTGTTTTTGTCATTGATGATTCACATTTACCTCTACTTTCACAAATTGAGTGAATGGTGAGAAGAGCTTGTTTCTGTAGATCAGGACATTTCATCTGAAACTTCAGACACTCAAGCAGCAAACTGAGATCTGTCCTTACATCTGAAAGCAGAATAATGAAATCAACAAGGCCACGTTATTAATAGACATTTTTAAATGTGTATTACATTACCCAGACGCATCTACAAACACATAACGTTGAACAAAATATTCACATCTGTAGTTGGCATCAGTGTCACTCACTATTTCGGCTGTTGCTGCAGACCCCTGTCTTATCCATTTTACTTTTGCAATGACTCAGTAGTTTAGAAGCCTTTTACAGTGGTTACATGCCACAAAGAGACAGTATGGCCAACTCAAAATTACAAGAATAGTATTACGTTATTTTACGGTAACAATGGGAAATGCTATGTTAGTACTCGCTAGCTAGCCGGCTTAGCTAACAAAAATTCAAACTACGGTTAGCTTCGGCAAAGCCAGCTGCTTCGTCAGAGTTCGGTTTTTCTTCAAAGTAATGTCCAGACATTTGCTTCAGGAGTATTAACGTTAAGTTATAACATCTCCAGTCCTCGCTGAACAAAGGTTAGGGTAGGCTAAGGTGAGAAAACAAGATGTTAAAGTTAGTCATGTTAGCTAAACTGCGTTTGTCTCTCAACCGGTGGCACATCACGTTTCCATGGTAACAAACGGGGTGTGGCCCATAGACTGATGGGTTTAGGTACAAAGTGATGGACTTGTAATATTAGGTGTGTGTCTGAGTATACACCATGATTTAGCTGAAATCCAGCAAACATATACCATGTAGCAATTGCTAACTTTACTTTCCAGTCTGTTGTAGTTAGTTAATTACCAAATAGACACAAAATGAGCACCTGCAATTCAGCAATATTCCCAAGTATGACGCTAACGGAACAAAACGTACATTGAAAAGTAATAAAACTAACTTGAAACCGAAATATCGCCTTAAAACTTACAATTTTATTCTAAAATTACATTAACTGACGATACGACCTGTTAGGTCAAGCGCGGTGTCTAAAACAAAGATCGTCTATTGAACTTCTTTTCCTACAATGTTTTTCACACACTTTCCTTTCCCCCCCAAATGCGTCCAGCAAGAACTACAACAGTGCGTCAGATGTCAACGTCACACGTCCTTACCTATGGCTGTCATGTATAGAGTTTGTCGAGGGACATCGCTTCATTCGTAATTTCACAAAGTTTGTAAGTATTAAATCCATTAAGTGTTTATTCAGCGTGATGTTGAATATATGAACCAAATAAACCTGTGTCCGTTTAGCTCAACTAAAGGTTTTGAGATGACTATAGTCGCCTCATACGTTAAACGTTAGCGAAGCTAGCCAGCTAACCTAGCAAGCTAACTTAGCGTTTTATATGTTGATAACTTAAATGTTATCTAGTCAGCTTGCACAAATTAACGCCACTGAAATGTGATAGCGAGAAGTCTGCTGCTCTAGATCGGCATACGGTCATAACAACTTGAGTATGGTTTTAGTTTTAGTTTTAAGCAGGCTAACAGAACATCTCACTCGCTTGCTATCTTTTTACATTGACTTAGCTGCTTGGTTGTATTCATAACAGTCGTGTTGGTATCCAGGGTGTCTACAGGTTCTTAAAATGTCTTGATATGTCAAATATGTATTACGTTTTCTTTTTATATGAAATACATTAAACCTAAACTTACCCAATTGTTGTCCTTACTGTTCATTTTGAACTGACATTAGTGTGTTTACTTGGAAAGAGCACTTACACATGTGTCACACACACACACACACACACACACACACACACACACACAAAGATATTTGTATACTATGTATTTCCATTGCAGGTTTGGTCTTAAATTTCATATAAGATGGTATAACAAGGGTTTTAAAAGTCTTTAATTTAACTTAATTGTATCTGCAACACTCTGATCACCATACATAATTAATTTCATTTTTCCTTTGACACAGACATTTGGGTGAATAAGTAATACAACACCATACCAACAGCGTTGCATCAATAGAGATGTCTGGACGTGTGTGCGCCAGCATCCTTCAAAGAGCTTCAAGCTACACATTAACACTTTCCTCTGCTGCCGTACTCCAGGTTTGAACCCTGATTGACTTCTTGCTCAAGTATTTGATTATTATTTTCAGTTTTATTTACTGTATATCCCATTCTAATGCTGGTATCAATCTTTTTTTCTTCATACAGTATTCCAACGTTGTAGCATTTTCGTCTTCTCAGCCTCGACCAGCCCACCAATGTCATTTCTCATCCTGGGCTACCTCCAGACCAGACCAGTTCTGCTTTACTGGTGAGGAGTCAGGAAATTGGTCTCAAAGTGGGCAGCGCCACCTCTCAACTCATCAGGACCTAGACTTCCAGCTTAGCCAGGTCCAAATCAACAGTATTCTACGATCCAATGAGCAGGTAATGGAAGTCCCTGAAAGTAGACCTATCTGAAAAGACTTGATGGATATAAAAACACAGTGGCCAAGCATGTCTCTGAGGTCATAGTAGGGTAAATGGACTAGTTTTTCAGTCTAATTAGATAGGTAAGTATTACATGTAGAATATCTTTGAAGTTTTTGAGTAACCCCGTACATCTGTGTGTATGTGCATGTGTGTCTCAGACTGTGAGTGTGCCAGAATTTGATGGCAGGGGACTCAGTGCTGTCAAAAAGTTTGAGAGCAACCAGCTGGCTGCTAACACACCTAATGAGGACCGTCGCAGTGCAGCCACCTGCTTACAGGTATGCATTTTCTCCCCTCTGTCTGTAATCCAATCCATCTCCCCGCTTCTCTCCCTCTTCTTGTAAGAATTAATGTAATTATTCTTATCCTTTCCAGTCTAGGGGTATGCTCTTCGGAGTGTTTGACGGCCATGGGGGCTGGGCATGTGCCCAGGCCGTCAGTGAGCGTCTGCTGTACTACATTGCTGTAGCAATGATGTCAAAGCAGAGCCTGGAGGAGCTTGAGAAATGCATGGAGCATGGCAGACCTGTTCCTCCAATCCTGCAGTGGCACAAACACCATTCAGACTTTAATTACCGTGAATCTGCTTCCCTGTACATCGACCACCTCAGAGTCTTCTGGCAAGAATTACTGGACAGTGGAGAACACGGTGAAGGCATGATGTAGGTACAAAGATATGGGGTAATCCCCTGCACCTATATTGTACATTGCAGGAGCTAGGTGCACATGAAAATATGCATAGTAAATCACAAACAGGTCTGTAAGTGTAATCAGTGTAATGGCAAATTATTTCCCTCTCCTCCTTTTCTAGTCCTGTGGATGCGATGGACCGTGCTTTTAAACGACTTGATGCTGACATCTCCTTGGAGGCTCAAGTCCCTCTTTCCAATGACCTGATGAAAAGCACAGCTATCCAGGTAATAAGATAAAACTTTTATTTTTTTACTGTTTTATGCTGCTTCAGTGTATTTAAGGTCACACAGTGATGATACCCACGCATCATCATCTGTCCAGGTTGCGTTTTCTGGTTGCACTGCCTGTGTGGCTTATGTTGGCACAGAAGGGATCCACGTGGCTAACGCTGGTGACTGCCGAGCAGTAGTAGGGGTGCTGGAGGAGGACGGTTCATGGAGCGCTTTGCCCCTTTCCCAGGACCACAACTCACAGAACCAAGCTGAGATGGAGAGGATCAAGGCCCAGCACCCGCCCTCGGAGAGAGACACAGTGGTCACAGATGACAGGCTGCTTGGGGTGGGAGTTCTTCATTGACATAACACCTAACAAGCACTTAACAATGAATTTACTGCTGAATTTTAATAAGTCACTAGTCCTAAACCTTTTTTATCGTGCTGTCAGGTTCTGATGCCCCTGCGTGCATTCGGTGACGTACGATTCAAGTGGAGCCTTGAGTTGCAGCAGAGCATTTTAAGCAGCCTGGAATCCGGAGTGGACCTGGACTCTCTCAACCTGTACCAGTACACTCCACCTAACTACCTAACTCCGCCCTATCTGGATGTGTCACCTGAGATAACCTATCACAAGCTTAGACCTCAGGACCGCTTCCTGATCCTCGGAACTGACGGACTGTGGGATGAACTAGGGAACGAGGAAGCTGTACGACTCATTGGAGAGCACCTGAGTGGGATTCACCTACAGGTGTGTGTTGAATGAAAAGCCGCCTTTCCATCAACACTTTTGAGTATAGTAAACTTAAAACCTGCACATAACCAGTACAGGCATGTTACCAGATTGCAATAGTCGTTTTCACTGCTCCATCCAGGTCTCATTGTATTTCCTTTTCTCTGGTGATACAGAGGAACATCTGCACCTTCCTGATTGTCCACAGACGGGGGTTGCAGGCTTACATTTTCAGAACAAAAAAGAACGTTTGGACCTAAGAGTCTCTGTCAAATCAGTGACCTATGTAAAATTAGTGTATTGAGTCCTTTATGAGTGTGAGTGATGATTCTCTTTACGAGTCAGCTGACTGCAGTGTCTCTAGCTTCACCTTTTAGGTCCTGTTTAACGATTTCAACTGAAAACGGTAAACTTTAGTTGAGTTTTGGCCGATCGTTTACACAACAGAGGCGTTTTGGGTGCCTGAAAACGCAATGTTTTGAAAACGGGTTCCAGAGAGCAATTTTTTGGAAATGGCAGTGCTCCATTGTCATGTAAACTTGCAATATGCATTTCCTCTAAAAACGGAGACTTTTCGCACATGTGCATTACGGTTCCAGTCACTAGGCATGCGCGAGAAAGTCGACCATCACAACAACAATGCCAAGCTCTGTTTGTGCTGCTCACCCTGTTGATTTGAAGTGAAGTGTAGATCTGTTACTGTACCAACTCCACCTTGTCGTCCATCCAGACAAAGTTATCTGTGCATGCTTTCGCCATTGTGTCTTCTTTGTTTTGGTTTGTAATCACCATGTTGTAGAAGAAGGCATTTCAGAGCAGGCGCATGGCGTCATGCCGTGGTGTTGCTTTGCAAATTTACATTGCCACCCATTGGCCTGGTGTGAATACTACAGTGTTTCCAGTAGATTTTGCGGCTCTGTGTGAACGGGGATCGTTTCAATAACGTCGTCATATAAAGGCAGAAGTTTTTTAAAACGCAAATGACAGACTTTTCCGTTTTTAGAGAAACCGTTGTCGTCTAAACAGGGCCTTAGTTTAGATTAGTGTGCTAGGTAGCTCAACAGAGGGGTAAAGAAAAAACAGGACGGTATGTAGCAGTTCCTGGTACCATCCACAACTTTTGATGATGGAAAAGCAAAAATAAACGTTCTAATGTGTATCGAATTTAACTCAACTCAACCAAACCGGACTGCTTGGTGGAAACAAGGCGTAAATGACATGTATTGTTATTCTCCTGATTGACAGCAACAGCAGTTTTCAACCTAATCCTTAGAGTTTTATCCTGAAACCTTATCCTGTTCTTATTTTTTCCAGGCTCCTGTCTCTCCATCAGAGAGGCAGATGAAATTGGGCCAAATCCATGAACTCTTGCTGAAGCGCCGGGCCCGTGCCTCCCCCGCTTTGGACACCAACTCTGCCACACACCTCATCAGACATGCTCTTGGCACTGGGGAGTATGGAGAACTGTGCCAAGAGAGACTGTCCTCTCTGCTGGCTTTGCCAGAGGACCTGGCTAGGATGTACAGGGACGATATCACAGCTACTGTAGTGTATCTGAACTCTGATCTGGCCAGACATCAACAAAGCTAACAGAGGGGTTTTTTTGTTACTACGGCTGGACGAGATTTAAAAAGAAACACAATATTCAGCTCTGTTCATCTCATTGCCAACTTTCCCCAAGGCTGTCATTTTCTGGATGTTTTGGGATGATCATCACAACCTGTTACACACATTGATTTATAAATATTTATAAATGAAAGGGCAGTTTTCAGTATTTTATTATGGGAAAGTACATGGAAGGAACCACTGTTTCATAAACTTAACACGCGTTACACATTCATAGTATTTATCAGGTCAAAATTCAGACTTTGTGAAGGAAAGCTTTTGATCATTTAATGTATTCATGAGGGACATTTTATAGATATCACCTGAGTTGCATGTTGAATGTTGGCAGTTAAAATGCTACAGTATAATGAAGACACTCACTTTGTTCCTTGTCTGGAATTGTGTTTCTACTTCCCTTGCAAACTGTGCTTTGGACAATCTATCTGTGACGTGACTGTTTACATGACCCAAGTGTAAGCTCTGAAGTATCGTTTTAACATTGTGTAAATGTACTGTCTCCAGTGTGGCTGTAAGATGTATTTATGTCGACACTCCACTCAATGAGAGCAAAGGTGCAAATACTTCATAATAAACAATTGAGAAATAATTTGGTTTGGCTTGTGTGTTTTTAATCACGGAGACATTTGGATTGAAAAGTGAATGAAATAAAATTACATACAGAGCCCACCATACAGAACATTTTGAGTTTGACACTTAAAGCTGTGTGGGAAACAGAGTTTTCAAAGTAAACTGCAAGTGCTGAGTGTCACAGGAGTCAATCTGATCTTCAAGTGTTATGTAAACATTAGTACTCACAGGAAGCAGCATTATTACACTGAACTGAAGGTGACAGTGGAGTCCATAAACACACCTGCCTGTGTGACACTGCCCGAGGTCACCTCTAGCTTCTTTGTTTTTTTTCACCAACGTTTCACTGATAAAATCAAACTACTCAGCATCATTAGGAGCAAGGAGCAATGATTAGTGTAGCCACAGGCCACTAATAGGACAAATAGTGACGCTGAGTCTGGAAGAAGATTTAACTGAATGAGGAACTCTGACGGTCTTTAGTGAAAGCCACAAACTTGGCAGGCTGCCATTTGAACAAAGCAGCAGATCCAGTCCAGTGACAACGGAGGAAAAACCTGTGGAGTTTTAACAGTAAAAGAGAAGACAAAGAATAGCAGGATTTTTAGGATGCTCTTTTTGCTGTGCCAGGTCCAGGTGAGAGTTAGTTGGAGTCATTATATTCTTCAGTCACTAATTACTGGGGTGTCTGGCTCACTACAGCTTGTATATTTATTGCTTTGCCAACCTATACTGTGTCATTTTTATATTTAGAGTGTTTATTTTTGTCACTATACATATACATAAGTATTATGAATTAGTTAACATTAATATATATTTAAAATCTTAAGTAAATATATTTGTTTATATTGAGTATTTCTGTGTTTTTAAAGTGCAGTAGGCCTGTAAACAAAATTCATAATTATTTAAAGGTCCCATATTGTAAAAAGTCAGATTTTCATGTCTTCTTTTTTTTGTAAATATAATGCAGGTATAGGTTCCATATAAATACTGTGACAGTATCAAAAGTCCACAGAGAAATGCACACACTGTGTTTTCAGAAACTGTGCCTTAAAACAAATTGCTAGAACTTCGGTAAAGTTATGATGTCACAGGTCTATGGACCTCGTCAAACTTAAAATATTAACATTTTAAATGGGTTCCTGTTGGAATGCTAAATAATGGATGGAGCCACTGGTTTGTGGACTGCTGTTTTGAGGCCAAGATTTTGGCATTTTGGCCGTCGCCATCTTGGTTTTTGGAAGCCAGAAGTGACCATATTTTGACAAGACAGTGGAGCTGTGGAGGAGTGAGGGGTTGATCTGCTCATACACTGTGGCGATGCTTCAGAGACAACATGTCAGTCAAGCAGCCAGCTTTTAAATATGTGTAAATTTGGGCCTTAATGAAATGTAAACCGGTGAATGGGTGAATTTAAAGAGTTTGCACCAGGCTCTAAACCTGTTTATTTCTGCTATGCGGTTTGGCGTCTTAACATGGGTGTCTTAGGGGATTTTCTCTGTTTTGGAGCAAGCCTTAAGTGGTCATTTGATGATCATAAGTTTTAGACACTTCTGCATTTGCTTGATTTTTCCGCCTCGGGGGTTGCTGCTAGAGCGTGTGTGACTGACATCAGCTGACAGGAAGTAAACATGGACCCAAGCTGTTGCTTAGCAATGCAATTCCAGTTAAACGTCCTGTAAAGACAGGGAGTGCTGTTACTGCCATTCCCCCTCAATGACAATGTAGCGAAACCAAAAGTGCAGATGTAGGCGACATAGAAATACTGACCAATCACAGCAGACTGGGCTTTTTTGGAATGGAGTCTTTAAAAGACAGGCACTTAAATGGTTTCAGACAGAAGGTGAATACAGGCATATTCAGCCAGACATTAAAGCATGTAAACTTGTAGACACAAAAAATACAAGTATAAACCTGAAAATGACAATAATTTAACATTTACACCCTACTACACCAACACAGTATTATACCCCCATAAGACAATGTCTGAATAATGTTTGTTCCTCAGTGTTTGGCCCTCCTGGCCGCAGCAGGAAGTCAGCCATGCTGCTCCTCAAATGATGAAATCCCAAGAGGCAAAAATCTAGAGGTAAATTTAGAGGTTATTTTATAATCTTAAACTTTATTGATTAGTCTGCAATGATATATCTGACTTGACATTGTGAGCTCTGATTCAAACAGACCAACTCTGACATGAGCCTCGAGCCACTCCCCACCATTGAGTTTCCACACGTTTCAGGAGGTTTGAAACGGATGAAGAGGGAGTGGGTTATTCCAGCAATTAACGTTCCAGAGAATGAGCGGGGTCCATATCCCAAATCCGTGGTGAAGGTAACAAGAGAAGTACTGAGCGAATAGTTTTGAATGCAGTTTCACTAAATGTCTTTGCTGTGATTACAGCTGCCCTGAGATAATCTGTGTTTTTGTAGATCAAGTCAAGCAACCAGGAAAGGGTGGCGATAACCTACAAGATCACTGGACCCGGGGCTGATCAGCCTCCTGAGGGTGTTTTTACTATTGATAGGCGATCTGGGGTGCTATATGTTACCCAGCCACTGGACAGGGAGAAGACAGCCAAATACACTGTGAGTTAAACAAAGCATAATCTCAATTTTTACAGCTAATCCCCTAACTACGTGTTTATCTTTAAGCACAGTTACTATATAATATACATGATGTGTGTTACAGCTATGGGCCCATGCACTGGTTGAGGACATCAAGGCTGAGGAGCCCATGGAGCTCGTTATCAATGTCATTGACCAGAATGACAATGCTCCAAAATTCACTCAGAACCCTTTCTATGGCAAAGTGAGCGAAAGCACTGACGCTGGTGAGAGAATGCTTCAGCATACTTTACTTGCTAAAATGTGAATTTCATGTCCTAATATTGTATTATCTTTAACAGGTGACTCCATCATGAAGGTAACAGCAGAGGACAAACAATGCTATATTAAGGTATAAGATAAAGGATCAGGTGCCCAATGAGGGCATGTTCGACATAAACCCAGTGAGTGGACTGATCAGTGTGGCGGCAGGCGGACTGGACAGAGAGGTAATAAAATAACTACTCGTCTATTTGCAAGACTTTCTAATTCCTCATTTCCATTGTTACTCACCCTCACCCTCAATCCTGTGTCAGACCCAGCCAGAGTACAAGCTGATCATTCAAACTGCTGATATGGAGGGAGAGGGGTTAACAGCCACCTGCACTGTTATCATTACTGTTACCAATGCCAACGATAATGCTCCGCAGTTCACCGCCACATCTGTGAGTTAAAAATGTCCCTTCATAATAATGTTGAGATAAGTTTAATCTGTAAATGCATGTAGTAGAGTTTCATGTTTCTTCCCAGCTATCCGCATCAGTCCCTGAGAATGAAGTTGGAGTGGAGGTAATAAGACTAGAGGTCACTGACAAGGATGAGTTAGGATCTCCAAATGCCAACAGCAAATACTCAATAATCAAAGGCAACGAGGGGGGAGAGTTCAGCATCATCACAGGCGCCAATAAAATGGAGGGAATCCTCGAAACAGCAAAGGTTGGGACACACCTGTCTGTTTTTCATTCAGTAGGTCATGTTGTTTTACTCAGCAGTACTTCATTGTTCTGTCCTTGCTCTCCATCTCTTCCAAGGTGCTGGATTTTGAGAGCACTCCTGTCTTAACTCTGTTGGTGGTGGCGACGAATGAGGTGCCATTTTCGGGACAGGTGTCAACCTCGACGGCCACAGTCACTGTCACAGTCGTGGACGAGAACGAGCCTCCTGTTTTCATTCCAGCAGAAGTCCATGTACGCATCTCAGAAGATGCGGAAACAGGGAGTTCTGTGGCCGACCTCAGAGCGAAGGACCCAGACACAACCAGGAAACAGAGCGTCAGGTAGGAATAAGTGGGGTTCACAAGGGCTGAGCTTTGCTTTAAAATACTGTCCTTTATTTGTCTTCATCTTCACTGGTGTGGTAGTCAGGAAAAATTAGAATGCAGCAAGCAAGTCCAACATGGACTGAAGCATTTGCACTTTCGCACTCTATGTACTTTTGTGCTTGTGCCTTTTGTTGTTTTAATTTTGATGATTACTCCTCACAGCTCATGAAAATCAAAAATCCACTATCTCAGAATATTAGTATATTGCACAAGACCAATCAAAAAAAGAATTTATGATACAGAAATGTCAACCTTCTGAAAAGTACGGTCATTTATGCACTCAATACTTGGTCGAGACTCCTATTGCACAAATTACTGCATCAATGCTGTGTGACATGGAGGCCATCAGCCCATGGCACTGCTGAGGTGTTATGGAAGTCCAGGTTGCTTTGATAGCGGCCAATATCCCATAGATTCTGTATGGGGTTCAGGTCAGGCTAGTTGGTTGGCCAGTCAAGCACAGCAACACCATGGTTAGCAAACCAGTTACGAGTAGTTTTGGCACTGTGGGCAGGTGCCAAGTCCTGCTGAAAAAGGAAATCAGCATCTCCTCCTCATAAAGCTTGTCAGCAGACAGAAGCATCAAGTGCTCTAAAATCTCTGGGACCTTGCTTTTTAATTTTCTGTTTTAGTTCTGATCAGGTTGTGTCTCTTGTTTTTTTCAGATATAAACTACACAATGACACTGCCAGGTGGCTGAGAGTTGATAAAGACTCCGGATCAATCAAAGTTCAAAGCAACATGGACAGGGAATCAAATTACGTCAAAGGCAGCAAATATACAGTCCTAGTTTTGGCTTACGACAATGGTAAATGTTTACTTTTGGTCTTACCTCACAACACTGTTACTACCTTCTATCCCATCTGCCAAACCATAATCCTGCCATGTCCTTCTCTTCTCATTCTGCTAGACACTGTCCCGGCTACAGGGACAGGTACTCTGGTCGTGAGTTTGTTAGACGTTAATGATCATCTACCCGTGATCAAGCAGAGGAAAGCCAGTCTATACAGTCGTGACCCTTTACCTGCCCTGCTGGATATAGTGGACCTAGATGGACCTGGTCATGCTGGACCGTTTACGGTGGAGCTTCAAGGAGAGCACAGGATTAACTGGACTGTTAGCACTAACGCCACAAGTAAGAGACATCATTGACGACATACACACAAACATAATGTAGAAGTGGTCATTGAAATCACAGCTACTAATCTACTAATCTACAGTGACATGCAAGAGGAAGTAAAACTCTTACATATTTACTCAAAACTCAAAGCAAGCCCTGCTCAAATGTAATTCTGCGTCTTTTGTCCCCTTGCAGGCAACGTGGCCGCCCTGGCCCCCAAACGAGAATTGTCGCCCGGGGACTATCATGTGCTGATGCGTATCTACGATGTTGGCATGCTCTACCAAGACAGCACACTGAACATCGAGGTGTGCCAGTGTCAAGGGGCTGTCTCTACCTGTTTCATCCCACATTCTGAGCCCAGTGATCTGGACGTTTCTTCTCTCACAACTTCATTTCTGGCAGCAATTTTTTTGTCTTTTGTGTATGTAGCAAGTCTTTTGTATTCACCCTATGTCCTAACTTTGTTTTGGTTCATTTGTTTCACCTTCAGTTGCTCAGATTTTTCTGTTGATTGCAGTACTGCTCTTGCTGCTGCTGCTGTTTCTGAGAATAAGGAGGAGCTCGGTGAAGGATGTCCCTCTTCTCGAAGAAGTACCCAGAGACCACATTGTCTACTATAATGAGGAGGGAGGAGGTGAAGAGGACCAGGTAGGAGCAGGAGGTTTAAATGCATCTGCCCATTAAGGTGTCTTGTTAGTTTCCCTGATTGTCAGGAAAACAAAGGCAGGCAGACTAGACAGAAGAATCGCTGCATGATTACAGCACCAAAGCAACACAGACAATCTGGTAAAGGGAATGTTGACTGGAAGTGTGCAGGAAGTTGAGTGATCTAATGATTAACAGTGCTAGGAAATTTACTGAGGGCAGTTGTTTGGTGGAAGAGGAACAATCAGTTGTGGAATGACAGGAGATACCATATTAGCGATGCAACATGATGCAGATAAAACAGACGAAGCAGAGGATAAGTCAGGTGGAATCATGACACACGCTGCAAACATGCTGTGGTATAGATCACATTACACAACCCCCTGCTGCCTTCTGTGAAACTGAAGCCCTGAGTCATGCTAGTCAGAAACAAATGTTCCTAAGGCTGCTCTAAAGTATTTATGTTAGGGCTGTTTCAGTGGGAAGTTATTAGCAAATGATTGAAGGTCTGTTCCCCTTTTTTTGTTTTTTAGGAGTATGACCTGAGCCAGCTCCACAGAGGGCTTGATAATCGTCCTGAAGTCTTCTGCACTGACTGACTGTCCAGAGTCGGCCACACTACCGCCTACAACTCCAAGCCAACGAAGAGATTGGGACATTCATTGAGGATGTGAGATATGTTGAATTTTATACAAGAATATGTTTGGTACATACAAGTGAAACAAGCTATATAATATATCAGTGCATTATTGTACTGTCACTGGCCACTTTCAGGTACAGGTTAACTGCGCGTTAACACAAATAGCTAATCAGCCAATCACATGGCAGCGACTCAATGCATTTAGACATTTAGACATGTAGACATGGTCAAGACGACCTGCTGAAGTTCAAACCAAGCATCAGAATGGGTGAGTCACCAGAGATCAATCCAATAGAGCACCTTTGAGATGTAGTGGAACGGGAGATTGTCATCATGGATGTGCAGCCGGCAATCTGCAGCAACTGCGTGATGCTATCATGTCAATATGAACCAAAATCTCTGAGGAATGTTTCCAGCACCTTGTTGAATCTATGCCACCAAGCATAGATTCAACAAGGGCCAGTGTGTAAAATGGGTTGGAAACAGTGACATCAGTGGTCAAATTCTAGATTGCAGGGCTCACTTGCTCACCCCTCCCGTCGGGTAAATGACGGTGGCCTCGTAGGGACAAAAAGCCTTGCGCACGAGTTTTTCAGGAGTAGGTCTATCTAGCGACGAGGTGAATGTTTATTTAGAAATCTAAACCATGTTACGATATTGTAATGAATCCCTCACGAGCAGGAGACCAGAGGAGCGTTCGGGAAAAAGGTCTGTTTATTTGAGTACTCCAGAAACTCCGGTAACACTCCACTCCGTCCCAAACTCTGACTCTTCTGGTGTAACAGACACACTTCATAACTTTACATGCATACTCGTTTACCATACTAAGTGGGGACCCCCCTCCCCTCTCTGCTCCACCAATCTCCAGCCCGCACACTGACTGACAGCGTAGCCGGTAAACAGAGCTCAGCTGTTTATTTAGCCTAGCAATATCTCCGGACTATAGTAGCTGCAATGGACGACTTTGAACGCGATTTTGAAGAGTTTCTTGTAGCGGACACAGACCCAGAGCCATACCTGTTTGAGCCGGAGCACACAGATGAGGAACTCCATGTGTTTGATGCTGAGCGGGTGAGAAGAGAGGCTGAATGCACAGAATGGGATTCGGTGCTATTGCTGCCATTGCTGGGGAGATATATCATCAGGAGGAAAAGTGCCGCAGAGAGTGCATCACAAGGAGTGAAGTTGCGTCTTCTTTTCCTCGCAGATGATGGTTCGGGTTCATTCTCTCCTGTTGCGTGGTAAGTGTGGTCCATTCGCAAACTTTATAACTAAAAAAACTTTTCACTACTCTCTATAGAAGAACTACTAAAACTCTCTGCTGTTTCCTCCTCCTTCTTCCTTCCTTCTGCTGTCTTCGTTGGTTCATTTATACACGCGAAACGCGTTCTCTGGCTGGCTGGATTGTCCACTCGGTCTGCCGTACATACATGGCGGTGCAAGATGGCGATATATATAAAGCCCCTCTCTATATATATATATATAAAAGCATAATTATAAGGCTACGAAAACCAAACGAATTTTATTTTATAGCGATCATACACTTATATAAACATATTAATGGGTAGAATATTCAGATTCAGATTCAGATTGACAATAAACCATGCCAAATATTACACACTGGCCCTTTAAGACAGTTCTGAAGGCGAAAGAGGATTTAACCAGGTACTAGCAAGGTGTACCTAATAAAGTGGCCGGTGAGTGTATGTTTGTGTGTGCTAATAACTCAGTATGTGATATGTTTCCTTGGTCTCCCCCTGTAGAACTTGCACGCTGCAGACAGTGACCCTACAGCTCCACCTTATGACTGTCTTTTGGTGTTTGACTATGAGGGTGTTGGCTCAGATGCGGGTTCACTCAGTTCACTCAACTCCTCAGACTCAGATGAGAAGCAGGACTTTCCGAGCCTGGCCCTCTGGGGACCACGTTTCAGAAGGTTGGCTGACCTGTACACAGGCGGGATAGACGAGGACGATGACACAGAAACACTGCCAGGAAAAACAGAATGGGTCTGACATGCTCCTGTGACCTGTGTATTAATAGACCTTCCAAATTTGTGTCCATCTGCCGAAGGTCCTCCAAGTGCTGTGTGACCTCTTTCTGCTGCCTTCTTGGACTCTTTTCAGACTTGTACTGTGGACTAAGATGCTCATACTCTGTTCATTAGTCATTCTTGGCCTTCCTGGCTTTTTCATCGCACTGGATGAAATCTGTAGGTAAACAATTACATTAACAAACTAAATGATATTTAAAAGTATTCATGTACCAGGCTTACTGAATATCAAATGTTCCACACAAGATTGTCTCCATGATGTCATATTAGTGTTACATTTACTTTATGCCAAAATCTGATTACACAAACAAAAGTAAACATTGTTTACTCTGATGATAATGAGCAACAGCTTCAGTCACTAACTGTACTGGAATGCTAAGTCATGACTTGTAAAAAAAAAAAAAAAAAAAAAAAAAAAAGTGGACAATATTTGAAGTGATGGAGTTGGGACTTGTGTGTGTATAGCAGGCTTACTGCATTGGCAGGCCTGTGGTGGAGCTCATAGTTACAGGGCACTTACATCAGACTCCATCAGACTAAAACTTGACAGAATAATGCAATGACACCATTATTTTGTTATTTTTCATAAAAAGTCATGGGTTGGTGTGAAGGCCACTGGCAGGCTGATTTGACTCATCTCTCTAAAAAAAACCCCTATGAATCATTTATTCATTCATTATCTGTCACTGCTTACTCAAGTCAGGGTTGTCAGGGGTGGCTGGCTGGAGCCTATCCTTATGGACATTGGGTGAGGTGCAGGGTACATCCTGCATAGGTCACCAGACTATTGCAGGTCTGACACACAGAGACAGACAACCATTCATGCTCACATTCAAACCTATGGGCAATTTAGAGTCACCAATTAACCCAACCTGTATACTTTTCGACTGTGGGAGGAAGCTGGAGAACCCGCAGAAAGCCCACGCTGACATGGGTTTGAACCCGCAACCCTCTTGCTGTGAGGTGACAGTGCTAACCACTGTGGCATCATGCTACCCCATCATCAATCACTATAGCTTGCATTCTGAGCATACTCTTTTCTTTATCAGCATATTATCCAGGGAGTTCCTCAGGGTTCGATCATAGGTCCTCTCCCATTCATTTTTCATGCTCCTACTTGCATGGACACACACCTGCTTACATCTCTGAACTGCTCATCCCCCATTCCACCTCCTGACCCATCAGATATGGTGACCAATCGCTGCTGTCCATTCCATGTACCCAGTTAAAAACTAAAGGCGATCGAGAATTTTCTGTTGTTGGTCTTAAACTGTGAAATAATCTCCCACTTAAAGTAAGATCTTCCCCGTCTACTGACATATTTAAAACCCATCTCAAGACCTATCCCTTTTCTTTACCCTTTTAATTATCATTAATATGACACACCTGACCACACTGCGTAACAAATGTTTTTTCTGTGTTTCATTTTGTTGTCTGTGCAATGCTTTTTGATATATGATGTTGTGAAATATTGTCAAAATGTTACCGACATATCCTATTTATTTTATTTGATCATTCCTGTGTTGTTTTTTTTCTTACAACAGTAGATGAAACACTGATCCTGTGTACTGTAGTTTTAAATGTAGATGGATTTGAGGGCCTCAGGACTCTGGAGGATGTTCTTCATGGCAGAAAAATAACTTTTATGTGTGTGTGTATTTTCTTAATAATCCTGTTTTGTTTTGTTTTCACATACTTTTATATGATATCTTATCCGTATTATGTTTACCCTCATAACATCTTATTGTGTGTTTTTAACATTATCCTGTGATCTGTTGCTCTTATCTGTCATATTTTCTTATTATAAATATAATTTTTGTTTCCTTCTGCCTTTTAATCGTTAAAAGAGAGTGTGTTTAAGTTTTGCGTCATATTTATTTGGCATCTTGGGGAAGTTTGCATATTATATAAACTATTATGATTCTTGTACTACAAGGATGTGAGGGTTAGGATGTGTATTTATGAGTGGATAATATGGTCAGAACACAAAGTATAATCTTAAACTGTCTCTCAAATTAAACCAGTCCTCTGATGTCACAGAGACCTTTGCCTACAGATCTGATAAGCTCTTTAGTCATGGCCAATGATCTCCCTGAATCACCTCCTCAAGGGTGGACTTCAACCATTCATTATCATACAACTCAAGTGAACTTTGACCCCCCTGGATCTGCTGCGCTACACTGAGGAATAACAGCAGCAGTGAAAACAGTCTGTTTAATGTTTCTTATTTCAGCTAGATGACATTTTCTGATGATATGAGGGCCTGTGGATAAATGAGTGAAAGCTCAACAACATTTAGGGAAGGTAAGCAGTCACACAGACTAAAGTGTAAAGTCTGAATCATCAAAGGTGTGTGTGTGTGTGTGTGTGTGTGTGTCCGTTTCAATATCCATATTGTTTTCCTACAACTTATTTTGTGTCTTCCAGACCATGCAGAACATGTTCCAGGAGGGGCTGTACCATGTGTTTTTTAAGGAGACACCCCCAGCCCGTCCACTGACCCAGGTTACCGATCACAGGGATCTAATCAATGGCAGGATTCATCGTTGGTTTGGAACTGTGGTTAACACCAGACTTTTGGTCACTGGGGTGAGACGCTACTCTCTTGTGCTTGTCTAAATCATTGGTTAACACAACTTTTAAGCCATTAAACTATTAAACTCTCTGCCTGCTTTATCCAATGTGTTTCCCCTCAGGTGGTGCAGATCCTCAGTGCCTTAGCTTGCATCCTCGCCACAATCACCCATGCATGCGTGAGCTACAACTGCTCCATCTCTATGACAACACCAGTGTGGTCAAGCCTATTTGTGAGTCCACATCTGCTCCGACTGATATACACATTAGACAGACAGAGACAGGAAGTGAGAGTCAAACACTGGGTCTTAACCGTTTGTGTTGTTACAGTATGTGGCTGCTGGCTGTCTGGCAATGGAGGTTCAGAGAAAAGCTAATAAATTAAAGGTAAATACTTTGTGTAGTAATTTCAATATAACTTTGTTTCTGCCAACGACAACAGCTGCCTTGTTTAATTTTGCATTAATCATGAACAGATTATCACTCTGATGGGTCTGAACCTATTTAGTCTGCTGTTTGGCATCTCTGCTCTCCTGGCTAACAGCCTCAGGTCTACACAGCATGTTGCACTCAACACAAATCAACAGGTAATTCAACAACAACAACAAATTTCTAACCAAACAAACATAACATTCAATTTTATTTAAGTTACTGAATGTGTATCCACAAACGCTCTCTCTGCTGTAAGTGAACTATCCTCCCTACTTTCTCCCCATTCTTCTAACCAGCGAATTGGATCATACGTTGCAAAGGGGAGCTCCATTGCATTTACTGTACAGTGTTTACTGGCGTCAGTCTACGTACTTTTCCTGTCGTGGAGAGGCCTGCGTCGCTACAGTCCTCCCCATACTCAGAGCTACAACCGCCTCTCACAGGTATATATTGTAGGACAGGATGTACATAATAACCTGGGCATGACAGAAAGATTTGCTCCCTGTTAACTTGGTTGCTTTGGAAATTTCCAACTCAGTGGAATAGGGTACTTTTCTCAGGAAAACAGTTAAACTCTGGCAGCTGATTTGCTGAGATGATGACAGATGATGAAATGTTTCTGAGGAAGTTCACCAAGTACATTTCCAGTGAAATAAATCAGAGATACTAAATTAAAAACCACAATACTAAATCCAGATTATCACAGATTGTTGGATGGGGTCTGAGTGTTTTTTTGCTCTTGTCTGTGCAGGATCCAGATGAAACCAACGGGCCTCTACTGGAACAAGAACAGTTCAGCCTGTGAACACACTCCTGCTTGCACAGCGTTTTTGTAAACTCAGTTACTGTTGTTGATCAGCATCTGTATGGTTGGTATGAACAGACTGTACAATCCTGATAGAGGAAATTGTTTGAAATGTTGTGAAATTCTATAATGCCACCTGACCGATGTGTCAGTATCACTTCTCCTTTGGGATTCCAAAAAAACTTTTATGTGACTTTCCTGAACAAAGTGAAACAGCAAAGTTAAAACCTACTAAAATAAACAGCATGTTAAACAACAGATGGTGTATATAAAGCATACAGACTTTAAATACTAAATTATACAAAGTGTATGCATGTTATCACAGCTGAGCAGTCTCATGATTTACATAGTTTTGTGGTGAACACTAGAGGGCAGCACTGCCACTGTTTTGTCATGTTGTGCAGTTTGATCCACAAATGAACTTCCCTCTGTTCAGTGTTAGAATAGATGATGAAATTGTTTCACATAAATTGCCAGATATAAGAAATCCGAATTAGTGATAGTTATCTGCTGCACACCAAAGACAAGGTGCAGGTCAGGGTGATGATATACTGAAGAGAAGAAGACCGCACACTAAGCTGTAATGATTTAACTACCAATGTTTTGACCACACATTCTTTCTCACAGGAATTCACTGTTTGATTGATGATCACTAAGTGTAAATAAATGTTCTGTTTTACTAAGCTTGAATCGATGTCTTTAATTCTTCGATTGGTCTTAATTTCCACATTCAGACACTCACCTTGACCCCAACTTCACCCTAAACCTTCTAACCTTAACCCTATTCTTTCAATTTCTTTTGAAAGATAAGATAAGATAAGATAAGATAAGATAAGATACACCTTTATTGATCCCACAATTGAGAAATTCCAGTGTTACAGCAGTCAAGGAGAAAGAGTCAGATTAAAGATTTCACTATTTAAAAACTTAAAAAACTAGGCATGCAAAACAAAGTACAAAAAAATACAAGAAAAAGCAATAAAAAATAATAATAATGAGCAGAGGATAAAAAGTGAGCAATGGATTAAAGTGAGCATATTTAGTGCAAAGTGAATATTCGTGGGGAGAAGGCAATGAACAACAAAAAAACCCCCAAATGACCCAAAAAATTTGCAAGAAATTAGAAAAAAAAATAAAATTAAAAACAAGAAAATTTGTGAAAATAATTGAATAAATAAAAAAATTAAAAAATAAAATAAAAAAGACAGAAAAAAGAAAGTTTAAAAAAAATCAAGGAAATGACCTGGAAAATAATAATTCTGTAACATAATTTTGAATAAGTAATAATTATCATAAATATATCTTCTTCCCGTTTTCTTCTTTTTCCACAGTTAAAAAAACCCAAACTCTAAATCTATTTCTTTTTTTTTTGCAATTTGTTCAACATTTCTTACAAAGTTGCTCCTTTGCTGCCTTTTTTCCCATGTCTTGGAAAGAAATCACACCAATTTGTTCGAGGTTCAAAGGTTTAAATACTTTGACTGAAAGCAGCACAAGAAAAGTAATCTCGCTCCAGGTTTCAAAGGGTTAAAACAAAAATATCATACTGTTGCAAAAATGTCCTCCCTGTTATGGTTTACTCAAACTGGTCCTCACAGAGGTACATGTCCACGAGTACACAGAGTTCAGGCACAGTGATGGGTGTGGTGTGTTTGAGTATTCAAATGATGGAGGATTTCATTAAGGATATAAAGCAAGGTCATACACCACTCCTATAGTGAGCACACACACACACACTCATGCACACAAACAGACTTGTGAGAGTGAAAAAAAAATCACAGAGGAGCTAGTTTCTCACGGCATGTCTGGCTAACAGCTTCCAGCTGTTGCCTGGTTGGGAGAGCTGCTATGGGAACACACCGAGTACAAAGGGAAACATGGGATTCATTAGCAAATGGACACAGAAGGAGAATAGAAGAAACCAGCATGGCGAGGTTGAGTGTCCTCACAGACACTGACAACTGATTCCTCTGATAGAAACCACTTTCTATGTGGTACAGTATGAAAACTACTGTTTGCATGTGTGTATTCGGTGTAGCTGGTGTTCCATGATACAAGTGTACATGTTCAGTTGTACAAACAATCCATTTGTTCAGATGTCTGCATCTCCTGCCAGTACACTAGAATGGTTCCATGCTGCATTTACACAAGATTGTTCAGTGTGATCAGAGGTAGCAGCCAACCACATGACAGAGTAGCCTGCAAATCAAAAGTGACAAAATGTCGAGGCAGGCTTTGTTTCACGAGCCTGCCTGGATGCATTAGTGCAGCTGTTTAATCTCGTGGTCTGCGGTTGGGTGATGAGTAATGTCTTTTATCTTTGGAGTGTATCTTCATTTGACTCCACAGGAAATCCTCCTTCTCCTGCTCCTGGAGCACAGAGTGTGAGAGGGAAATGACTGAGGTCTGGATGTGATGACAAGAGAGTGAGTGTGTCCGGAGGAAAGGAAGTGGTGACTACATGAGGGGATCCCCTTTGATAAGTCTGACTGATACTCTGACCCTTTCAGCAAGATGGCCTGGAGGGATTTGATCTGAGACACCTGGGAGTGACTGGCTGAATAACTTCACATTTTTCATTTAAAAAAGGAAGAGAGGAGAAAACTAGAATTACTCCCTCGTGGTTGCATGCCTCCGTGAACCTGTGAGGTTGCAGTGGTTCCAGACTCATGTAGCCATGACAGTTGACAATGCTTCAGACATGAATGTTGCTGAAAAGAAGCTACAGGTTTTTAAACATAGATGTTTCACACACATCTTCAACCTGGCAACAGAAGACCTGTACAATCAGCACAGTTTCAAGGTGGGCACCCAAGATTAGTGTCACCAATTCAGTATCTGACCCAATGCTTCCCCTTCTGTTCCTGAGTTATGACGTTGAATAATGGCCAGAAGCGTTTTATGCAGAACATTATTGCCCTTTTTCGACAGTCATGGGCTTGGCATCTCCATTACAACCACTCCATTACTTTAACCCATGATGGCTTGTCGTAAGTGATGATGTTTAAAAGCAGCAGGCTGATCCACTCTAAAGTCCCATTACTTTTGTTGCATATGTTTTTCCACAGCAGGGTAGGTAAAAGAAGTTTACCTGTTGGAAGTGAGCTGTTTGCAGAAGTGCAGTAAGAGCCTGTTGTCTGCAGCTCTTCATCAGCATCTCACTGTGGCTGTTTCTGCTTTTACTCTTCCTCCCTGTTGAATTATTAGACTTGTCTTAATTGAAGAAAAGCTGCTAACTATTTCAGTAATAGCACATTTCATTTCCTATAGATTCTTCACAATAAAAGTCCCCCATGACTTTGTTATGGATAGACTTTTATTGTGAAGTAGTTTTCAAGCAGCAACTTCACACAACTTCTAATACGGCGGATAGCGAACATGTAAGAGTAAAAGAAAGCAGATATCTAAAGTAAAAACAGGATGCAGGAAAGAAACTATACTCCAGACCACAGAGATGCAGTTAGAAGCTACAACACTTGTTTAGGATGGAGCAGAGAGGTTGACGGTGGTTGGCTGAGGTTGGCGAGACATCACTGCTACCTGCTTGAGGGCGGGCACCTGGCTTTTGGACCTACTCCAAAGATGGTCCATCTCTGGCACAGCTTGGCATCTAAACTGAAAATGGAAACATACATCGGCACAGCATGGCTTTACTCTGCGTGGCCAAGAGTGACAATGGAAAAAGGGTATATGATGTCACAATGAAGTTGACCTTTGACCTTTTGGATATAAAATCATTACCTCATCATTATCTTCTGTTAGACATTTGTGTGAAATTCGTATTTTGTGAGGTCACAGTGACCTTTGACAACCAAATTCTAATCAGTTCATCGTTGAGTCCAAGTAGACATTTGTGCCAAATTTGAAGAAAGGCCTTGTTGAGATATTGTATTCACGAGAATGGGATGGATGGGCAACTCAAAAACGTAATGCCTCGAGGCCAAACTGTCCCTGGCGTGCAGGTATTAAAAAACAAAACAACAACAACAAAAAAAACATAAAACAAAAATAAAATCAGACAAAGGCATAATCTTGAGAACATTCATCAATAATTTATTTTCTTACTCTCAAGAGCCACCACTGCTTCTCATCTTGAAAATTCATCAATTTCCAACAACACAGTTTTGAAAAATGTAAAGTTACTATACAAATTTTTAATAGAAAAAAGAATAAATTAACTGTGGAATTCAGTTATCTTTTTTGTTTTTTATCAATTCCACATTTTTTTTCTACAACACCTTTAATGTATTGTTACAGTTGAACAGAACTGATAAAATCAAGTTACATGCTCTATTGTCTGGTAGGGAAAGTGTTCTACTATTAAACTGTCTGTTAAAATAAGCTTCATTTTGCACATCTGGTAATTGAATCTATTGATAACAATGAAGATGTCTAGATCCTACGTGACAAAGCAGTAACTGGTCATTTTGTAGCACCTGAAAGGGTTGTTACAATGTCAGAACTAAAAAAAAAACCCCAAAACAATACTGGTTCATATAAAATGGAACATTGTTAAAACAATGAATGTGAATGTTAAAAACCCCACAAAACCTTACAGTGCCCCTCCGTACATACAGGAAAAAGACTGATAAAAGAGTTAGTTTGTTTCTCTCGGAGTATTACAAAAACCTCATACGTTTCTATGGAGCACAGAAAATATGGTGTGTTTGGAGCTACAGAGGGAGGGGGGACGTCACACTTCTTCACATCGGGCTCAGAGGTCAGAGATTACCACAAGGTTAAGAAGATAGGACTTTCTGAAGGGGGCGAGGAAACACTATGGAGCAAAACGTGCTAATGTTAGCATATAGAAGTCAGATGCTGAATGTCTTTGGGGGTCTTTTTTGTCAGTGGATCTGCAGGGCATGCACGGGATTGTGTCTTTAGCACGCAAACAGTGGGCGAAGACTTCGAGTGAGCAAAGCGGGGTCAAACTTGCACTCTAATAGGTGACTTGAATATACTAGAGACCTATGAGATGGTAACCAGGGAGTGCTGGTTCCAAGCCTGGGTAAAGACTGATCAAACGTGACCAGGCATGAAGGTGGGTAACTCTTGGAGAACCAACCATGCAGGGAGTGGGCTAAAGCCTTCTTATTTAAATAGTAGTAAGTGGCAAATTACAACAACTGGTGTCAGTGCATAAAGGAGACACAACACTATGAGGGACAGGGTGAGATGCGCACCATTCCTCCTCCACGTTACACCAATTATCCAGACGTAATGGTGCTCCAAGTCTGTAAATGTCTCTCTATCACCGAGGCGTCATAATCTTAGTAAAATCAACATTTGATTAATTCAGATTTGTGCAACAATGAAGTTTAAACATAAACTCTGGTTAGGGGAAGATGATTTCGATACAGCTAAAACATGCAGAGTTCTACTTCCTTCTTACAAAACCAGATGTGCTTTTCTAACCCTGTTCTGAATATCGGATTGATTGGCATGTTTGAGAAAATAACTGTTTGTGTCACTTCTGGCTATGGCTTCTCTTCTGGCCCTGACAGCGGGGTATTGATTAATGTCGACCTGAAATTCGATGTCCGTGTACTTAATAAAAAGAGCACTGTCGCGCGACACATTATCAGTGGTTCTAACTTCTCTACTTTCCCAATACGCACTTTGATACAACTCATTATTAAAATATTGAGAGTTGAAAATGGGAACACACTAATTGTAGGTCCAGTCCTCATAGACACTGTTAATGTTGTGCTTTTCAAAGTACATTTGAATAAAGAGAAAAGTTACAGAATGGCTATAATCTGTGGGGAGTTACTGTTTCTATCTTAAAGGAGTGGCTGAATTACAGTACAAATGTAAAGCACCAACATGTTTGGCACTGATGAACTTGTACTCAGAGTTCACACTGTGTGTGTTCAGTCGGGGAGCTCCTGTGATGCTGAAGAGATGGACAGAAAGATGAGAAAGCACAGTGCTACAAAAGGGGGACTTGCAGATACTCAGCATGGCAAGAACCGGTACACAGCCAAAGACCAACATTGAAGGAGAGACACTTGTGATAAAAAAAGATGAGATTTACCACTGATTAGTCTCAATATCAAACACAAGTAACGCCAACAGATGTCAACAGTCAGAAAACTTTCAGGGGTGAGAATGAAAAATGTGAAAAGATGGAAACCAATCGTCTTGTTTCTGTATCAAAATTACCGCCAAAGTCAAATGCCTTGACTTGATGTGGCCATGTTAACACCCCCGAATGACCCTCACCCGACCCCACCCCCACACTCTGGCTAAGCACTGATCACAATGTGGCCAAACATGTGGACAGAGACTTCCTAAAAAGACCAAAGACATTAAATAAACATGAAGTCACTGAAATAAGCATAGATTAATGCCAAACCCAATAACCACAACTCCAAATTCTCCCTATGATGCACTAATGATCTTTTACTCCAAGCATCACAAGGCAGAAAACACGGCAAAATGCCCGCTTCAATTCACTCTGTAGATTCAAACCAGTTCGTATGCTTGTCCAATGTTCTGTTATTGCTATAGTCCTCATTGTAGAGTCCCGTGAACCATCCTGATATTGTCACTGTGAATTCACTCTCATACAGTTATCTGACAGTCACTTTTCTGCACGGGCACCAGCCCAGGGACCCTGGTGTGACCAGTCAATCCACTAAGTTGTCTTTGGTTGTGGGTTAAACTGAGCAGGAGTTGAATTTATCATCTAAATGTTTGTTATTCCAGATTTTTTTTTAAAGTCTGTGTCATCTTCTCTTCTTATAAATATGCTGGGACAAATAAACAAAAAAGACAAACAACATTAATGGGAGTAATGGAATCCAACACAGTTCATTTGGGCCTGATAATGAGTTTTAAACTGGTGGCTCAAATCCAGCAGGTATCCTCTGATTGGGTGGCAGTGCACTGAAGTCAGTTAGGTCAGGGGACCAAAGATGAGATATGAAACCGATCCTGTCATGGCCGATGTTGCTTCTGTTGAGTTTGAGTTGTATGTTTGATATTTTTCTGTGCTCTCTTCCTATCGCTCCTTTTTTTCCTCCTTGCCCCACTGCTTGTGTGCTGAGGGTGAGTAAAGAACGGGCTCTGTGGTGCTGCAGGGCAACAGTTCAACCGCTGAGGTGGTGCTTCTCAGTCTGTCCTGTGAAATCTGCCCTTATCAGAGCCCAGCGAGTGTGTCCCTGTCCAGCTGAGCTGTGATAGAGGGGCATAATAAGAGAGGTGGTGAGATGGATGGAGGGCAGAATCTAGGGAGGAGGGAGGCTCATGTCCAGTCCGCCAGTCCGATCAGGGCAGGGTTTTCGTAGGGCCTTAAGGATGAGGTTGTTGGTTGTCGATGGGTAGTAGTGGGGTACAGTGGAGAGGCAGTAGGAGAGGGCAATGGAACTTTTCTGGGCCTTTAAGGAAGGTCTCAGACCAGGGTTCCAGGTTTGGCCTTATCGTGTCCGTACCACTGCACATCTGCCAGCTCTGAACACAGGGGGCTGCTGAGGAAACAGCTGTCACTGAAAGACCTGCAGAGGAAGACATAGACCAGGATGAGACTGATATCAGAGAGAAGCCTTTTATCTCAAACTGCAAGTATATCATTTAACATTTTTAAGGAGCAGTGTGTTGGATTCATAGGATTTAGAGGCATCTAGTGGTGAGGACTGCAGTTTGCAACCAGCTGAAACGTCTCCAATGTGCCGAACGTGAACTCACGCTTTGGAATCCTTCAGTGTTCAAGTGTTCAGAGGGTTTTAACCATGCGTCAAATTATCCACAGAGGTCTCCTTCTCTCCAAAACAAATGGACCAAGTAATTAAAACCGGCAAAAACACTGATAAAAGCAGTTTCACATAATAAATCAGTGTTTCTCCAACAGTGCTTGGCTTGTCGTAGATGGGCTGCTTGCCCAGCACCTGCTGATGTGTGTTTACCTTTTTTCTCTGATAACTTGAGATCTAGATGTTCAGGAGGTTTTTACGAGGAGTCGAATTATCTGCAGAGGTCTCTTTCTCTCCAAAACAAACAGACACAGTGATTTAAACTGGTAAAAACCCTGAAGCAGCGTTATGTTTAAAAAACTGATCATAGCGTTAGTTCAGGCAGGACACGATGTCAAGCTACATCAGCTGATCTCAAACAGCCCAATGAACTGATGGAGCAGCCAACTGATGAAAGATGGGGGGTCTTTGCTGCTGCTCTCCCTGCCTTAGGCTTTCCATGTAGGCGCATGGAAGGGCAGGGAGGTCTGCCTCTCTGTCTCAGGCTTCCCTCATGTACATGTGGAAGGGTAGACAGGTGTGCTCTCTCTGCCTTATGGCTTTCCATGTGGTGCGCATGGAAGAAGCTTTCTGGCCCGAGAACAGGCAGAGGGGCCCCAGAACAGAGCCATACCGCCAAATATAATACTACAAATGGAAATAAAGTTTTTTTCGACAAGTGTTCCTGACTGAAATCTGTTTTATGACAATGCTCGTTGAGGGGGGGCTGTGAATTATGGTGGTTGACACAAAAACGCAAATGCCTCTATCTAGATCCATTGTTTGGATTGTTGGTACTGGACTACTGCAGAGACATGGCGGTGCAACATGATGGACTCTGTGTGAGGACCTGCTCCCTATGTAGACATAAATGTCTCATTCTAAGGATGCTTTCAGACCTAGATTTGTCTTGCTTTGGTCTGAATCAGGGACTAATTTTGTTACAAAGTTGCATAATTGCCAAGCGTTTGTTCTAGTTCTCACGGAAGTATTTACAAGCGGACCAGATCAAATGCCTTGTGTGAGAAAGCTGCTCCTGATTGGTCAGGATTTCCATGCGTGAAAAATCCAGGAAGTTCACAAAACATTGAAGTAGACTACACTTGCAAGATAAATGCAACACTTGATTTTAGCGCTGTTCATCGTGTGCTATATTGCTTGCATTGTTCATTTTAGTCAAACCGTACATTTTGAAAACGAGGCGCAGCTCCAACTAGAAAACAATGTTTTGATGCATTGAATGTGCCGAATATGCATATTAAGGCAGTACAGGGGGAGGTGCACATTAATTATTCTCCAGGACTGTAACATGCTCATGTTTAACCCAAACAATGAGCAATGTGACTGCAGTTGGTTCAGATCAAGGACTGAACACATTCTTATCACAAAAGAACAGCACCAGAGTTTGTTTGTAACCAGACCGAGACCACCTCTTCAAGAAGGTCTCGATTCGGTTGTTTTGGTATGCACCCGAGTGTGATTGCTGTGTTCACACCTTCCCAAATGACCGAACGGAACCAAACAGGGCAGGTGTGAAAGCACCCTAAGGTAACGAAAATACAATGATCCTAATTTTCAGGTGATCATACACTAGAGAAAACATACATATAATAATATATTCCAGTTCTGCCAATATATCACTGTAAATCCTACACACTGGACCTTTAATAGATACTATCATCTACATGGTTTCAAGTGTTTATTTGCTTGGGATTGTTTGTTAAAGAATGTTGTCTGTTACAACACATACACATACATGGTTGATTATTTCTATTAGTAAATCCTGTAAGGAATTAGCCACAGTGTTGGTTTCAGACCACAAAGCAGAGCACATGCAGAGATCAGATACAGATACAGCCAAAGAAGAAGTACACAAAACAAATACCGCCACCATCAGAGAGCAAGAAATTGTCCACTTTCCCCATTGTCAGCCCCCAAGAGTTGATAATGAAAGTGACAAGTGAAGTCGCATGGGTGCTTTATGCTTTTAGAAACATGTACAGACAGATTTCTATAAATAAAAGTCTGACTGTCACATTTCATTTCTTTTACTCATGCTTGTTTTCTCTCTGTTATGCTCTTGCTGTGTATTCCAAACAGTACACTGTAGGTTTAGACCACTGGGAGGCCGAGACCACAGACAGTACCTCTATGCATCAGAGCTGGGCTGAGGGGGAGACTGACAGACGTCCTCAGTAGGAGAGCTGTCTGCTGTGCCTCTAAACCAGGAGAGAGGACACACACACAAGGAAAGGAGGGTTAGTGCAGACAGAGAGAGACGAGGAAGAAATGACAAATATTAGGTAAAAAGAGTAATTTCCATGACGACAAGGTAATCGGAGGTGTGAAAGATGACAGGGGAAAGAGTGAAGAGACAAGGAACAAAGATGCGGTGAGTGAAAAAAAACACAAAGAGGAGTGACATCATTGGAATATAAGAAAGGTTTAAAAATAGATGTTAACCCCGGATCACATAATCATCCTTTAGGATTAGTTCAACGTGTAAAACAACATCAGCTGACAGGTACAACAGTCAAAGCTTGTGAAGATGTTAGAATGAAGTTTGGAGAGAAAGGAGCTGAGTAGCCAGGATGCAGTTTGTCCTGAAATTAACAAAAGTCATATCTGGCTTCAAACACCTTGGTCTGCAGCAGTGTGTGTGTCTGATGATGTGTTTCTTACCCGCTCTGCCAGTTGAGGATGTGCTGTGGGCTACAGGGCGGTGTGGGTGTGGCTGTGTGTTCACTGGAGGGCGTCATACTCCTCTGGCTGTGAGGGGACGCAGCTATGGGGAAAACTGACAGTTAGTCCTGCTGAATGAAATACAACACATGCAGCATGACACAGAGAGAGAGACATACACACAAGAAACAAACATACACAGAGACACGTGGACACACAGACACAAAGCAAACACACATAATAGAGGCTACAGCGAGGTGAGGGGCAAAGGAATGTGAACTATGCTTCACAAATGGGAGGTGAGGGGGTGTGGCCTCAGAGCCACTCACAGCATTTGGCCTGGGGTCATGTTAGAGAAACATAACATGTAACACGCACACACAAGCCTCGTTGGCGCAGTAGGCAGCGCGTCAGTCTCATAATCTGAAGGTCGTGAGTTCGAGCCTCACACGGGGCAATGTGTTTTCATATTTCCATATTTGTCCACACATGAATGTGTACTTTAAAACTTAGAAGCACTGTGTAACTATAGACTTGTCAAACGCAGTCTTAGGTTGAACCCAAATGTCCACAATCGCACACACTGGCAGAGCAACCAGGCTACCTATGTAGATAATACATTATACATTACATACATACATTACATTAATTCATAGCAGGGCTATTCAATAACAAATTCAATTGGGCCAGATTTAAAAGCAGGAAATGATGGGCCAGACTTTCTCAGCAGCCTATTTAAAACCTTTTTTAGCTTCTGGTAATTACACATTTAAAACCAATTCAAATGAATGCAGTGACAAAAATAGCAATATTTATTTTTCTATATTAATATATTTATCATTTGTTTCACTTTGAATATGAAAAAGATATTTTTGGTGACTAGTTTTATTCGTTTCAGGGTTGACAGAGACATATCTTTAGTATAGCACTTCCCTACTTGTGACTGTCAAAAGCCAGATGTTTTGAAAAGCTAGCTCCCTTGTTAGCTACTTCCATACACTATATATGTAGTTTATATATTTGTAATATATTAGATGTCTGTATGCTGCACCCCTTGGAGGTTGTTCCCCAGCTGGATGTTGCCCGCAGTTTGCCAACTGAGTAAGCCTGATTTACAGGGTCAAACTGCACAGTTTTTAATTTCTAAAGTTCCCCATCAAAAGTGAAAAACATGGATCCACCTACAATGTGAGAATCCTCAGCCTGAGATGAGAGGGTTTTAATGTGAGTTTTATGTGACCAAATTCTTTGAGGGATCAGACCATGTCCAGAACATCTCCCAGTCATTACAAGTTTAAATACACTTTGTACTGATTTAAGATTAAAAATACATGTTGAGTCATTAAGTTACTCAGCTCATGTTCTCTGTCATCACTCAAAGCTCACAACTACTCATAAGCATCGAGGAACATCTGTCTCATAATGTGAGGGTTGTGAGTTATATTAATATTTACTCACCAATTAAGTCAAAGTTTGTCATTTGTGAGCCTCACATGGGGCAGATACATGTTTCCTATTTACACTACTTAACCTCACTGTTACAATTTTAACTGGAGAAGCCCAGTATTACCATTGACCTTCAGAATTAAGTCATAAGTTGCGTTTGGATTCACATACTTTCTTGTTTTTTTACTTTCAGTACATACTGCAGCTGCCCTTACAAAGTGCATATTGTTGCATTGAGTATGCACAGAATTGGGATATACTTCTCTGTCATAACACTGTGCCTTGAACTTAGAGCCTCTTGCTCACAATATCAGTCGCAGTCTGTAGTGCAAGCTGTCATCTGTCTGCGGCTCAGTCAGTTTGACATATCTTCCTCTGTGTAGAGGATTGTGGGTCAGACAAGCATGTTGGCTTGCATACAAAATGCGACCAGATGCAGTAGGACCGTGTGTTACTCTCATAATCTGAAAGCTGTGAGTTCAAGCCTCACACAGGTTGTTGTCTTTTCTAAGATGGACACTTATTGTTCAAATCTATGACCAAACAAACTATTTGTTTAACTCAATAAACAGAAACAGTGTACAGCATTTATCTAAGACACATTATGATAGTTTTAACCCATGTGAGAAAGGGTTTAATGTGAATAAATGAGGAAAACCCACCTGGTGAGCCCTTGGCGAGTGTCCCTACTCTACTCCCTCGACCATGTCCCAGAGTGCCTTGCTGTGACCCTGTCTCGGAGGAAGTAGACCCCGAATGTGAGTGACTCCTCTCCTTCAGGCTCCCTGAGGACCTCTGGTACCAGCACCGCAGCTCTTCAGACACCGCCGCCCTCCCCCCTCCACTTCCACCACCCTCTCGCCCCAATGACGGAGTCCGTACGATCTGAGAGCGCGACGGTGTGAGTCGGCCGCTCCCTTCTCCTCCCTCCTCTCCCCCCCAGGCCTCCTTATACAGTCCCCCGGCCGTGTAGGAGCTGGAGGTCTTGAACTGGGCTTTGACGCTGTAGTGGCCCTCTTGGTCGCTCTCCAGGCTGCGCACCACCACGGGGTTGGGGCTGCCCTCCACATATAGCGGGTACTCCTTGATGCGGTACTGAGAGGAGGGCTGGCTCTGGCTGTGGAGGTAGACTCCGTGGTGTCCCCCTCCCATCCCACCTCCACCTGAGCCTCCACCGGAGCCGTTCTTAGCTGCCAGGTTTGGCATGGAGCCCGAGTTAGAGGAACCCAGGTGACCTGCAGACCTGGAGACAGAACAAAGGACAACATATACATCAGTCTCACTAAAAACACACTACCAAAACAGTTGTGTAAGGAAAACCTTTCCCCGATCCTCACCTATGCCTTTGCCTCTGCCTCTGCCTGGCTTTGGAGGGTGAGTCCTCTCCCAGAGTGGAGTAGTTGGGATTGCTGCCAGGAGGTCCACCAGAGGGGTAGTAATGCTCCGAGCTGCTTTGGCTGGTGCAGGATGAACAGTCGTCCAGTGGATCGGAGCCATTGGAACTGCGTCCTGGGGCCAGGAAGAAGTCAGGGCTGCCAAGTGTGCCCAGAGTGTGCGGGTGTGCATCGGGGTCGGGTGCCAACAGTTTGCCCTGGGACTCAAGGCTTGAGCTGCGGTTCCTAAAGTGCTGAGCGAGACTGTGCAGACGTGTCGGACTGATGTCCACTGACCTGTGAGATGAAAAATCCCAAAAAAATGTTCAATACTGGGGCTGAGCTGGAACAGATCTACAGAATTAATCAAGCTATGAATTTAATAATATAGAACGAGGTGATTTTTTTTCTTTTACAAGCAAACCTACATGAGAGGAAGCGAGTACAAATAGTAGAGTTTTTAAGACTTGTCATAACTAAGCCTTTTCACAGATGGATAAAATCTGTTATAGAGAGATACAGGTCTTAAATAACCACTTAACAATTGAAGATATAAAGACTGACCTAGTGGAATGTATGTAGTGTGGGGTCCTGGTCTTCAGGTCCGGGGTCGACGGCATGCTGGACTGAGAATTCCAGTGGGGGAGGCTCCTGATGGGGCTGCTTTGCAGTGAGTTACTACCCCCTGCTTCTGCACTGCCAGAGCTTGGGAAACGCCTGTGACTTGACAAAGACAAATTAATGTTATACTCCCCTTTCAAACTGGCAAACTATGTATAATGTGCTCTGCTGAATATGCAGTCAACTCATATTTGATGTTTTAATTTCAGGGCTATCAAAGTCTGAAAGTGTAGTTTCATACACTTGCTAATTTTGTCTGGATTAGTGAATTTTGAGATGACTAAACAATAGGTGCTTCACAAAGTCAAGGAGGACTTTTACATTGTCTGGAATCCCATCTTACTTAAACTCACTTGTTTAATCCTTGACTACAATACTTCTGCATAGTCTCACACACATTCATTAATACACAGTGGCTTTTTTATAAAAGGCTAGTTAGGATGAACTCCCTCATACCTGGAATGAGAGGAGCGTTTCTTGACTTTTTCATAGGGCTCATCCAGTGACGATTCACTCCACATCTTGGGTTTGATGGGTGATTTATCGTAGTCAGAGCGCGAGTAGTGCAGGTGTCGCAGGCCATCCAGGGACTGCGGTGGAGGGGGCCGACTGTGAGATGGCGGCCGAGGAGGGAGGCCCTTGTGAGGCGATGCTACTGGGGAGAAGGTGGGTGTACCTGTGACTTGAGGATCATCTGAAACAGAGTAATCACTGGATTGAGTTGGAGCGATCAAGATATTTTAACATTTCATGAAATCAGGAAAAAAAGCACAATTATTATCTTGCAGAGTAACGTGAAGGCCGGAGACTCACCATCATCTAAGACCAGTGCGTCAGATAATGAACTGTCTTCAGAACCAATATTGGCCTCTACAGGACACAGAAACAAAGATGAGAGGTTAGAGATTGTATCAAAAAAGCATCCATGTTTCAATCTTGTCTGCTTCATGATCCAATGTGTGCACTTCTATTACAGCTCTTAATGGTACTTGAGAACGATATTACTGTGTGTAGTGGCAACTACAGCTAATAGAAATTAAGAGATATTAAAGCAACTTGATTTTCCTGTAGTGAATAGGAGAATATTGGTACCCTCTATGATAAGCGACGCCCTCTGCGTAGGCTTCTTGCCAGAGCGGACCCGGTACTCATTGATAGAGTTCTCAATTTCCTGTAGCTTCTTCAGTGCGTTCAGATAGGAAGTCTTCCTCTGTTTCTTCAGCTTCTTGCTGCTCACGTGAGGATCGCTGGCAAGACGCCTGGCTGCCTCTGTAATCTGGGACTGAATGGCAAACTCCCGCTCCAAACGCTCCAGTTCCTCTTCCTGGGAGAAGCGCACACACACACACACACACACACACACACAAACATGAGTGCAAACTCCGAGCAACGCAAGCACAAAACACTAAATTTGCTCACAGTTTTAGCAACAGAAATCTCCGCACAGTCCAAAACCAACAAAGCTTAGTTTGCAGACACGTATTCAGACTCTAACTCTCCCATGCAACGTATTTGGTTAGACACACACGCACAAAGCCACGCCAGGGAAAACACACTGCGGAAATCATTTATCTGTGCTGCAGCCCCACAGTTTCTCACCAGTGGTTATTCTCTATTGAGACACTCTGTCCCCCAATAATAACACCTCTCCATCAATCCATCTTCTTCTCCTCTATACTCCTCCTGAGACTTGTGTAGCACAGGCTAGTAGGTGAAACAAGTAAAACACACTCTGTCATGCTGCATGTACAGTACAGGCCAAAAGTTTAGACACACCTTCTCATTCAATGCATTTTCTTTATTTTCATGACTATTTACATTGTAGATTCTCACTGAAGGCATCAAAACTATGAATGAACACATGTGGAGTTATGTACTTAACAAAAAAAGGTGAAATAACTGAAAACATGTTTTATATTCTAGTTTCTTCAAAATAGCCACCCTTTGCTCTGATTACTGCTTTGCACACTCTTGGCATTCTCTCCATGAGCTTCAAGAGGTAGTCACCTGAAATGGTTTTCCAACAGTCTTGAAGGAGTTCCCAGAGGTGTTTAGCACTTGTTGGCCCCTTTGCCTTCACTCTGCGGTCCAGCTCACCCCAAACCATCTCGATTGGGTTCAGGTCCGGTGACTGTGGAGGCCAGGTCATCTGCCGCAGCACTCCATCACTCTCCTTCTTGGTCAAATAGCCCTTACACAGCCTGGAGGTGTGTTTGGGGTCATTGTCCTGTTGAAAAATAAATGATCGTCCAACTAAACGCAAACCAGATGGGATGGCATGTCGCTGCAGGATGCTGTGGTAGCCATGCTGGTTCAGTGTGCCTTCAATTTTGAATAAATCCCCAACAGTGTCACCAGCAAAACACCCCCACACCATCACACCTCCTCCTCCATGCTTCACAGTGGGAACCAGGCATGTGGAATCCATCCGTTCACCTTTTCTGCGTCTCACAAAGACACGGCGGTTGGAACCAAAGATCTCAAATTTGGACTCATCAGACCAAAGCACAGATTTCCACTGGTCTAATGTCCATTCCTTGTGTTTCTTGGCCCAAACAAATCTCTTCTGCTTGTTGCCTCTCCTTAGCAGTGGTTTCCTAGCAGCTATTTGACCATGAAGGCCTGATTCGCGCAGTCTCCTCTTAACAGTTGTTCTAGAGATGGGTCTGCTGCTAGAACTCTGTGTGGCATTCGTCTGGTCTCTGATCTGAGCTGCTGTTAACTTGCGATTTCTGAGGCTGGTGACTCGGATGAACTTATCCTCAGAAGCAGAGGTGACTCTTGGTCTTCCTTTCCTGGGTCGGTCCTCATGTGTGCCAGTTTCGTTGTAGCGCTTGATGGTTTTTGCGACTCCACTTGGGGACACATTTAAAGTTTTTGCAATTTTCCGGACTGACTGACCTTCATTTCTTAAAGTAATGATGGCCACTCGTTTTTCTTTAGTTAGCTGATTGGTTCTTGCCATAATATGAATTTTAACAGTTGTCCAATAGTGCTGTCAGCTGTGTATTAACCTGACTTCTGCACAACACAACTGATGGTCCCAACCCCATTGATAAAGCAAGAAATTCCACTAATTAACCCTGATAAGGCACACCTGTGAAGTGGAAACCATTTCAGGTGACTACCTCTTGAAGCTCATAGAGAGAATGCCAAGAGTGTGCAAAGCAGTAATCAGAGCAAAGGGTGGCTATTTTGAAGAAACTAGAATATAAAACATGTTTTCAGTTATTTCACCTTTTTTTGTTAAGTACATAACTCCACATGTGTTCATTCATAGTTTTGATGCCTTCAGTGAGAATCTACAATGTAAATGGTCATGAAAATAAAGAAAACGCATTGAATGAGAAGGTGTGTCCAAACTTTTGGCCTGTACTGTATGTTTACTGCACTGCAAAATGTGTATCTACAGTACATACTGCCGCAATATAGAGTTGTTCAAACACTGACAACAGTACCGGAAATGCCTCTGATACTGCCTAAAATGCTGGTTCGGGTATCGATGAGTATGCAAGTCTATGGACTGATCTGATACTGCATAATTTATTAATAAACTTTACACCTGGATAACATCTTAGCCACCCTCAAACTGAGTTTACATAGCAAGTTGGACTGTGTGACCACTGATAACTACTGTTTTAGAATGACGAAGAAGAATCTATTTTGGGTAAACAGTGTATGTTAGCAAAATGGGTAACACTTTACTTGAAGGTATCTACATAAGGGTGACATGACATGTCATAACTATGACATGGCAGTGTCATGACCCTGTCATAAACATGTACATGTCATAAATGTTTATGACGGCTGTCATTAAGTGTCATTCAGTTTTTGTAATGACAAGTTGACATTGTTTGGGTTGTCTTGATTATGACAACTTGACATTAATCAAAGTGACATTACCAGAAGTTGTCTTTGTCATGACAAGTTGACATTAAATTTGTTTGGGATGTCCTTATGACAACTTGACATTAACCAGGATGACATTACCAGAAGATGTCTTTGTATCAATCATTATGTCAACTTGTCATAAACACAAAAAGAGGTGAATTTCTTGTTAATATCAAGTTGTCATGACAAAGACATCTTCTGGTAATGTCACTTTGATTAATGTCAAGTTGTCATGACAAAGACATCTTCTGGTAATGTCACCCTGGGTAATGTCAAGTTGTCATGACAAAGACAACTTCTGGTAATGTCACTTCGATTAATGTCAAGTTGTCATAATCAAGACAACTTAAACAGTGTCAACTTGTCATTACAAAAACCAAATGACACTTAATGACAGCAGTCATAAGTGTTAATGAAATGTACATAATGTTCATGACAGGTTCATGAATGTGCAATGTCATAGTTATGACAGTGTCATGTCAACCTTATGTAGATACCTTCAAGTAAAGTGTTACCGCAAAATGTTTGAAATGTCTATGGCATTCATTCTCTGTATGTACTTGTTCATGTTCTACAAATGGTTTAACCTGAGCCAGCAAACTTTCCATTGTTTTTGTGTGTGTGTGTCAGTCAGCGTCCCCTCTCTAAGTTTGGATGTTTTTGGGGGTCCATAAATGCAACTCAGGCGGAACTCATGGGTTTTTATCCTCACCATCCCTGATGAGTAGTTTACTGTTGAACACTATAGTAGAAACTTGTAAACATATTATAGACAAGTAAATAAACTCATGCATGCAATCATATATATGAGAACACACATGATTTCACTTGCCCCCAGAGAGACAGAGCGATGATGTATTCGCTTGCGTCAACATCTTACAGGACTACCTCAGTTCGGAGGAATCCCTCGCTCTAACAATCCCTTCACACTCCCGCCAGAGTGGCTTCTGTTTCTCTCTCTGTGTATGTGTGTGTGTGTGTGTGTGTGTGTGTGAGTTTAAGGTGTTCAGTGTAAATTAAGCAACATTGTTCTGCTTGCGAGGCAGTTTTGTGATATTGTGTCCCTGGATTCTTTTCAAAGCAAACAACCTCGGTAACACACACCCACACACACACATGCCTGCACACATACAGACGTGCACACAATCCTACTATCACCACTTCCTGTGGCGAGAATGCTGCCAGGGCTATTTTTAGAAGTAAGGCTACTCTGGAAAATCTACCCGTGGCACAAAAAGACAAAGATGCAGTAAAGCTACGTTTACAAGGTCCAAGATGTCTCATACCCTGGCTTTCAGTGTTCTCTGTTCCCTTTGCTCACTTAACCAAGTAGGAATGAGTTAACTTATCATTATGTCAATCATCACACATCATGTGAGCATTACATCTCTGGTTTTAAATGAAGTTAATCTCAAGTAGCCCTTGATCTTTAACTGTGTAACTTCAAAAGCCTTTAAACACCAGTTTTGATCTTTAATGCCACACTGTTCATAAATGGATCATTAACATTACAGCTGGGCTAAAAGGAGATAAACACTCTTAACTAATTAGTGCTGCAGCAGAGGGCCTGGCTCAGGAACGAGCAGTATTTTGTGTCTGTTTTGAACACTGACCCCAATAGATGACCTCCTGTTTTTATTTGGCCTGTGTGGGGAGCGGGGTAGATTGGAGTGTGTGATAAAGTGCTACTGTGGAGAACAGGAAGTTACGGCTTTACCTCTCCCTTGGGAAGGATTTTCTGCTCGTCCAGTTTGAAGGCAGTACCAATCTTCCGTCGTACTGTTGGCGGCTCCTCTCCCGGATCCAGAGGATATTCCTTCGGAAGCTTTCCTGTCAGCTCCTACAAAGGACAACAAGGGGACAAGTTAGAGATGAAGCGCTAAAAAGGATTCTGGTTACCAAATATTAGCCAGATCTGTTTTTCTCATACCGCCTCTCTGATGCAGATGCTCTTGAGTTCCTCTAGCCTCTGTCTTAGCGTTTCCTCCAAAGCGTCTTGCCTGGCCCTCAGTGCTGCCAGCATGTCCTTCTTAGCTGTCTGGGAGCTGTCCGATTCCTGAGAGCCTACACGACACGACAGCACATAATGTGAGGGCAGGAGGCAGGGGCGTATGTGCGTGTGTTTGGACTTGTGGGGACTTATATAAATTGTGCGTGCACCTGCTATCCTTGCAGGATGTTTACAGGGAAGTGAATGGAACGTTTCGATAAGGAAACTGAGTCGAAGTGGTGTGTTTGTGCGAGTGTGAGTGAGTCAAGGAAGGAGCAGTTTAGGACAAAATCTGTGACGCACAATCTCCAAGGCCCTGAGATGGTGCCACTGTTGTTTGCAACATGCCATGTTGACAACACACACACATATTTTATTTCTGTCTGTTGCTCTTTCAGTGACCGTGCGGTCAAACAGAGCAACAATACAAAACCAAACACTGCTGAGACCGCTGTGGTAGAAAGAAACTATTGTTACACGATACACTATATTTAAGTTAAGGTTTTCTACACCTATTGTTTTGAAGGTGCACAAGCGCCAGCATTGACCATCCAACTGTTCTTATAGCTCGAACACATTCAGTTTGGCGTGTTAAGTGATGTTGTACAGCCAAAGCGCCTTATTTGCAGCCACAAAGGTTTGAAATTGATCCGACAAACTGTGATCTAGTCTAGAGACGTGCTGGCTGTGGTCATGTGGGGAGATACATGTATGTGGCATCACAGTTCCTGTGACATGTTTATGTTGCTGGTCAGAGATGGCCTCCAGTCAGTCAGTGGATCATGAAATCAAAAAACTGCGCAACACAAATGAGACAAGTGACAGGACACAGATAAGACAGAGACACCCTGTGTGACACAAGGTGGGGGTGGAACTAGAGAGGGACGAAGAGGACAGAAAAGGGAGATTGGGAGACTAGAAACGGATAGCTGAAGAGAAAGGGGGGAGAGACATGTATCTACACACCGATACCACAAGAGCACTTTATTATAATTCATAATGTGAATGGAGTGGCGTGTAGTAAAGCCGTAACTATTCAAAAGTTTTGGTGGCATGTTGAGATCCTGAACTGCCAGCTCTGTAAATACATTGTGCTCGACTTCACCTCACCACAGACTGTGTGGGTTGTAGCTGCTGCTGCGGGAGTGTGAGCTCCGTACTGACGGTTCAACCAGCCTCACACATGCACACACAGTGACAGGGCTCACTGTTAGAATCACACAGCTAATGTTACACAACAGCTATTAGCAGGTTTAACATCAGAGTCCAGACGTTTCGGTGTCGGCCTGAGTTTGTTGGGACCGTTTAACTGCACATGTGAGGATGTTAGCTGCCGCTGCTGTTTTAGCCTATGCTAATCGGGACAGATGCACAAGGAGAATAGTGGCTCTGGAAGCAGCAGCAACAGAAAGTTTGCTTATCTGGCAGGGAGTTGGAATGGTTTGGGATCAGAACCCCAGTGAAAAAGGATGAAATGTTGGTACTGTTTGGATGGACGTTTCAATACTACTTGGTACTGGGTTATTTCAGTTGATACCTTAAATGGATCGAGTACTGTTTCCCATCCCTATTTATGTGGCTGCCTGGTTTAAAAGGGCATTTTCCCTTCTACTCTAAATTTGGTTCATGTACAAATCTTCCCGTCACACTCGTTCTTGTCGTACTTGTTCAACACGGATAAGCATTGTTTTAAAGGCCATGGCAAAGTTTTACACTGACCCTCTGCCCTTTTCATTCCCTCACCCACTAAATTTAGAGGAGGCCAGGGGCCTCTGGAGGATGAATTTGTGCGACATGGAGGGTGGGAGTGGTGTTCTATACATACAGAAAGACACTGGGTGGGGTGTGTGTACAGTATGTGTGTGAGAACATTCAGCACAGAATCAATGGCCTCTTCCCAGAAGCAGCTGTTTCTGTCTCTCCAGTTGTCAGTGACACAGACCACACACGCAAACACAAAGAATAACACATATCAATCTTTCTCTCTGCCTGTTTGTCAGTGTCTTTCTCCTCCTCTCTCACACACACACACACACTGACGTTATAATGACCTGATGATAGCAGACTGCCGCTGCTGCCACTTATAATTTTGCCCTTGCTTCCCATGTTGGCCAGTTTGGAGGTCTTCAGAGTTCCTGTTTCCGTCAGGTCTATAGCGATCTCACTCAAACTCCTCGCTGCATGGATCTTAGACTGGAAAGACAAGAATGGAGGGGGTCTGTCAAAGCGCTTCATTAAGCTGTTTAATTGCAGCGCTCTTACTGACCATGCTTGCTGAGTTTGCTGTATCTCTTGTACATGTCTAATCGTGTCTGTGGTCTGTGGTGTGAGTATGGATGTGGTGGACCTGACTGACCTTGCTCTGCTTGCGGTCCAGGTAGAACTGGTGTTGGCTGATGGCCATGGCCCAGATGGACTTGATGAGGGCAGGACAGGCGTACCACGTATGCACAGCGATGCCACTGTGACCAAACGTCCTTCTCGTCACCGACGCCCTACAGTAGGAGCGGACACAAGGCCTCCTTATATACACTGAATACAAAAGATGGCTACATATTACAACAGTGAAAACACCCCCACCCGACAACTCCACCACCGTAACTGCTACCAGGACTACTACAATAACTACTGTAGCTGTTAGGAGGGAGAAAAATTATTAGAGGCTTAAGAGAGCAAACCTGATAGAGATATTTTTTGCAAAGCCACACACGATGTTCCCCCATTGTTTACTCATCCTTATTTAAACACACATCTGTAGCTGAGCAACAGACCAGCTCACCCTAATGACAGCTTCCTTTAAAGAAAACACCACTGCTCTCTGTTTCACCCTGTCTGTCACTTTTTTCTCCCGTTCCCTCCCTCCCTCTGTCTGTAGAATAACACTCCACATATATAGCCATGTTAAATAAACACAAGAGAGGTCACTTCCTCCGCAAAACAGCTATCGCTAAGCCATCTATCCTTCTGTGGTCAACTATCAAGGGTTTACCCTGTGTGTGTATGTGTGTGTGTGGGAAAGAGCACACGTGTTAGTGCATGCATGTGGCTGCACAAGTGTGTTAATAATCAGCCTATCAATCTATGTCAGGCTCCACCGGGACATCCCCAATATCTCGCTCTATTGCCAAGACAAATGCTGCAACCATTACTGAATTAGATTCCAATCTCTCCTGCCCTACACTGTAGTTTGAATCTTAACACATCCACATATGGCACAGTGGTAATTTACAGTAAAGGCTACTGGAGGGTGTCCATAACTGAGGGAAAAATCTATCACTTCCAAATATTAGCTGGAGAAAATTCAACAGCAATATCATTCAATCACTTAAGTAGAACTGGTATCGTGCAATTCAACACTCAGCTTAAATTTGTGATATAAATTTACCTCCTCGGGTCATGAACTTCCACTGAAAACTTCTTCTCTCTGAAGTAGAGGTTCTCCAACTGACGCCATTGGAACACCTGAGATTCAGGAGAAACACACACTCTTCAGGGCCGCTCACAGAAAAACATGCTTCACATTAAATCCACACAGCCTTCAGCCAAATCCTCTGTTCTCTTCTGTGTATGTTCCAATTTGTTTTGAGAGAAAATGCAATGGATACTGAGGAACAGGAGAAAGAAATGGAAGGAGCTGACAAAGAGGAGGAGTTAGGAACAGAGCAGGAGGTGGAGGCAGGGAAGAGGACCTAGTCTGTGGCTCTCTGATCAGGTCCAGACCAGGCGGTCTTGTCCACAGCAGATCCCTTCGCTGGATGACCTCACTCTGGAGAAAGACAGCGTGAGAGGGAGGAGGCTTTCTTTCCTCTGCTCGGATTTTCTTTTTTTTTTTTCTCTTTTCCGCCCCCTTTATGAACCATCAGCTCCTCTTTAAATGAAGCCAAAGCCAGCTGGGCGAGAAAGTTTCCCCCAAGACGTACTCCACAGCATGTGTGTATCCTAAATCCTCCCAGACGCAGGGGAACAGAACGTTATGAGTTGGTGGGTGTTCACCATCTGTAGGCATGTGCATATGTGTGTGTGTGCTGGTGGAGAGAAAGTGTGTAAAGTTAAGTTTCCTCCTCTCCTGTAGCTTTGCTAGGAGGGAGGGGGCGTTTATGCCTCCCCTCCTCCTGACCCCTCCTCCCTCCCTCAGGGACTGTGCTTCCTGCTCTGGGCTCTGTGGTTTTGGAGGTGTGTGTTTGTGTGTGTGCGTGTGTGGGTAACGAGGGGTCAGGGGAGGAGTGATGAAGGGGAAAAGAAGCTTTCTGTAGCCCCAGCAACTGAAGTGCCCTCGCTTTGTTTGGTCAGACCTCTGTGTGCACGCACATACACACATTCACAGAGTCTGAGTCTGCTTCTTGTTAGAGAGGAGCAGAGTGTGGGCTATTTCAGATCACAAGTGGGCCTGCATCTATCAGCTGGAGCTGACATACAAACACTCACACACATGAAAACCTCGGATGTACGCTGACCAGCCATCAGTAAAGACAGAAAAACTCTGTCTTTACTGCGAAACGGAGAAAAGACACAAAGTAGAAGACCCAGCTATGACAGGATGCAGAAGGAAAAGAGGAGAAAGGGAGCTAAGGGAGGAACAGGTCACAGCCCAGGAATTTTAACAGCCTGAGAAAACAATGGACAGAGGGATGAGAGGGAGGAAAGGGGAGGAGGGGGAGAAATATGTATGTATGAAGTATGTATGTAAACACAGCCTAATGTATGTATTTATGCACTGTATGTGTGTGTATGCGTGTGTATGTGTGTGTGTGTGTGTGTGTGTGTGTGTGTGCCAGCATGAAAAAGAAAGCCGGCACTCTTATCAAAACTGTTGCTGTACCGTGCATTTTCAATGGAGTGTGAAGTGCTAATGTAGCATGGTGCTAAATATAGCGGGTCGGGCAGATAGTGGGTGAGTGGCTGCGCGAGTGTGCGAGTGTGTGTGTGTGTGTGTGTGTGTGTTGGCTACATATGGGCCAGAGCTGTGAAGATAAGATGGGTGCTTGTAACTGTGTTCAGGCACGAGACCACTAAAGCTGTCCTCTCCATCAGCGGGACGGAGCTGCTGCAATTTTGGAGGCAGACTTTGATGTTTCAGGATAAGTTGTACATGTGTAAGTGTGCGAATAGTGTTCAAATATATCTCACGCACATTATCTGCAACAAAGTGCAACAAAATCACCCACAAGTTTAAAATTAGACATTTTTTTTGTTGTGATTCGGTGCTGTTTCAAAAAGTGCCCCAGTTACATAAGCCCATTGTGTTAATGAAACCTTTGTAGTCTTTACGGCGACTGTGAAAAGCGTGGACATCTGATAAAAAAAAACCAAAAAAAACATGCTGACAGTTTCTTTCTAAGGAACTCAGTCAAAGCTATTAGGAGCTTCTGTTATTAGGGCGAGGCTGGTGCATGTATGTGTGCATGTGCTATAAATCCTCTTCCTTTTAACTGTAAAACACTCGCACACAATGGCACAAACACGCAGACGAAGTGACTGGTCATTATTCATAAACAGTTGGGTGCTCTGGAACACAGACCCATGTCTGTCTTGTGATAATGTCGGTGCAACCGAGCACACATCCAGTACACGTGAAAAGGTCAGATCTGATAGAGTGTAAAGGCCTTTCTTTGGGGCAGAAGGCTCCCTGGGGGATTACAGGAAGAATAGAAAGTTTAAATAGCATAAGCATATTATTCTTCTCCAGAACTGGACACGAGACTCTCGAAGACTATTGTTTCCCCCTTAGGGTGGGGCTCTGGTGTGCAACGCTACATCCACCAGTTGTCATGGAGATGCAGATACACTCTGGAGGCACTTCCTGTTGTTTTTGCTTTGGTTGTGGTGTTTTGAAGGGATGACATTTATGGAAAAACTAATCCGAACAGGCTGTCTGTGGCTGTTTGCTCTAAATGAAACGCAGACAGACGCTAACTAACGTCAGTGGGTGTGTGCCGCTGCAGAGAGACTTATCAATATGCAGTGAAATGCATGTGTGATTACGTTGATTTAAACCACAGCTTGCTGTGTTTGATTGAACCTCCTTGCAGCTCCATCACATTGTTGACAGGAGCTTTTCCTGTGTTAGCCTTAAATCAGTCGGTCAGGTAGTCAGTCAACACGCAGACCCTATAATCTCCATCTAAATGAGTCAGAACACACTAACGAGGCATTAGTACGGTGTGTGGTTCGGTTGTAAAACTCTGTCTGTGTGTACTGTATGTGCGTCTGCATGTGGCCTGCGGTAAGCAGAGGGGGAAAAGTATGTTAACATCCCCAAATAAAAGTGGAGGCTGCGGTAGATGGTCTGCATTTAGAAACAACAGGGATCTCCCCTGGTAAAGGGACTAACTAATTAAACACAACTGCCTCCAATACACAAACACACACACACACACCTACTGTATTCTGCAGTCACTTAGTTGCTTATTAATGAATAAAAAAGGTTGGTGTTAAAAACATCGACTGTTTTAATTGTGACAAAAGCCAGTAATTAGCCCATAATGTCTCATAATCAGTGTTCTGCCTCCGCCTCACTGAGTCACAGAACTAAAAACCTGCGGAGTGACAAACTAGTGATTACACTGTGAGTCAGTGGTTACTGGTAATGGACCGGCCAGCTGATTGACTAATCACCGAAACAACTGCTCTTCCTCTAGTTTGTTGGAATAGCGATGACTCCCATTACTGCCATAACCAGCTTCCTAGTGCCCTCTGTGAGTGTCTCCTTCCTGTGAAACACTGACCACCTTTGAAAAGGAGCGCCACCCACCCTCTTTTGTCTGCCTTATGAGTGGAAAAAACCCTTACTGTGTTCATTTGGATTTAGTCAGTCTTGTGATGTTGCATTAACAAGACATGCAGTCCACAAATCTCTTTTGGGTCAAGCTCCTTAGACTACAATCGCACTCAGTGAGGTGACCCAGTCTTGCTTTCTCTGCTCTTAAATGTGTGTGTGAGAGGGTGAGGGAGAAAGAAAGAGAGAGAGGGGAAGACACTGAGGGGGTCAGTGCTGAAGCTTAACAGACCAATGACTCATACCAGTTGTTGCTATGGCAGCTGAATGCTTGAAAAGTCTCTTGTGTAGGAATGCTATTAACTCGTTCTTTCCTCCAGCTCTCTGAAATATCTGAAACCCCTCTCCTCCTTTTTTCTTGTGGCTTTAAAGTAACTGTGGTGTTTGTGTCTGTGAGTTCAATGTGCGGTTAAGTGGATTGCATTTTTTCCATCGCCATGGTGCTTTAACACCTAAGCAGCCACAACATTTGGGAATTTGTTTGGCAGGGATGGTGCTTAGTGGTGCGACAGACTTTTACCCTGGAATGCCCCAATCAAGACGCACACACACACACGCAGCACAATGTTCGTGGCAAACAGGAAAGCTGTGGCAGACAGGAAGTATTCATCAGGATGGTGAGTTCAGAGTTCACTAATGTGTGTGTGTGTGTGTTTATGGGTGTAGTATCAGAGTACGTGTGTGAGAGTATCCTGGTGGTCGGTTAGCATGCAGAGATGCTGTTAACCCCATTAACACCCTATAAGACGAGGCTAAATGCCAGAGATCAAGGCCCTAAACATGGCTGGAGGTCAGAGGTGAGGCGAGAGAGGCTTTTCATAGACGAGCCACTGGTTGCATCGACTGGGAGGAGGACGCCATTCACAGAAATAAAAGCAGGACAGGATGAAAAACATTCCAAGACTGAACGTCTCCAGACAGTTGTATTTGTACAGCATTGTTAGTGCTCATCCCAAACACAATGTCCTGACTTACTGAATGGAAAAAATAGACAGTGGTGGCCATGAAAACATTTCAATCACATGAGCTACCCACTCCTCTTAAAAAACACGGTGAAAGAATATGTGCTAGAATAAAGATACATCTTGGAAGTCGTAAATGCTACACACACAGAATACTGTATTCAGATTCACAAATTGATTTTTTTAAAAGCAAATTAAAAGAGTAACTGAAGGCTGTGCAGAGGACTGTTTAATTTGTGGTGCAGGGAGATCAGAGCATCATCTCACCTTCCTGGGTTTGACTTTGTCCTGGTGATCGTACTGAAAGATGCCTTTATAGCTCAGACCCAACCACCATGGGATCCCCTGCTTGTCCTAAAATACACAACAGAAAAATACCTCAGGAAATGTCTTGCGTGTGTATGGGCTTGATAGTGAGAGAGAAAGGAAAGAAAAAGACAGACAGAGAAAGACTGAATACAAATAGCTTTAAGCTCCATCATATCTCCAAATCCCAAACTCCCTGCTTGCAGGTCCAGAGTCAACAAAAATGTGTGTGGTGTGTGTGTGAAAAAAGAAAAGGCAGAGTAGTAAAACTGTACCTTTACAGCATAGTAATGTACTCCATATGTGGGCAGAGACTCTACAATGCTCATATAACTGTGGAGAGCAGAGAGACAGACATGTTAGAGTTACAGAGAAAGCAGCCTTCAACACAGTGAACAAACACAACCAGAGACACACACACACTTACTTTACAATAGCTTGCCCTCTGGACTGCCCGTTGAGCTTCTTGTAATGCTCTACGACCCGGTCTTCACTGTGAGACAGTACAAGAAAAGAAAAACATTAAGAGGAGGGGAAAACAAGACGAGGACAGCTTGTGCAATGTTGTGGTGGTTTTTCTGGATAACTGACTAGTCTCTCACCAGTAGGCCAAAGATGGGTGCTCCTTTAGGGCCTGGGTGGGCAGAGCAGGCAGCTTTTTTAAGTCAGACCTGGTTGCATCATTACTGTAAGGGAGGAAACCACGAGACATGGTCAACACTACTTCTGCGAGAACAATCATTCTCTGCTGTAGGCCTGACAGCGTCAGTCAAAAACTGACTAGACGACACCACTGAACTGTAGGAAAAGAAACATGTTGGTGCAAAACTGAATTCTACCCAAGACTGTCTCAGAAATTAAATGTTAACTTTGGATAACGGGTGGGAGAGGAACTAAGTTTAGTCAAGAGACAGGAATGAATGCTGATTGCCTAAATGTTCTCTATTTCAGAGACTGGGCGCTGTCTATGTCCGAACAGCTGCAGAGACACTGACAGCTGGAGACAGGAGAGAGAAGAGCGACAGACTCACAGACATGAAATATGAATAAAGGAAGATAAAAGGAGATAAAAATGGGATGGAGGAAAAGATAAAGACCGAGACAGCGTAAATGAGACAGGGTACCACGCACAGACTTGGCCCCAGATTCAGTTTTCAGACCTCCAGTTGCAGGAGGTCTTAATATCCCACTCTAATCCCCTCGCCTCTCTCCAGCCTCCGCCAAGGCCTCGGAGGATTGGGGAAAGCCCTGGGAACATGACAACCTATGAGCTAAAGCCCTGGAAGAGATCCCATCCACCCTGCTCGCCTGTTGTTCAATGTGTGAACACAGCTGTGTGTCTGGATTGGTTGATATCCATTCAACTACTCATTAGGTATACGTGGCTGTGTGCATAACCACGGCATTGCACTTCATGAACGGACAGGCAATTTAACAAATACAACGTGTGCACTGTGGCATGTTCGTCTTCACAAGCCACTAAATCATATATTCAGAATTAAAATGTTTTTTAAGTACCTTGAAATGAATACTGAAATTCCTAATACCTGTAAAATTATTAAAAGAAGGTGAACAGGATAAGACTCAGACGGCTTATTCCTCTAATATCAAGAAAATTACTCTTGATTCAAGGAAAGTCTTGGAACAAATGGATTTGTATTTGACAAAGGAAAATGATTTCACACTTATTACAGCAACATGATCTAAGAACTCAATATATTAGCTGTCATAATGGGTATTTTTAGGGGAGCAGCAGTGGCAGATATATTGCAACTTAATATGGAGGAGGGGTATGGTGTATAGTTTTGAAGAGATATGCAGAGGTCTACAAAGCTTTTGGAGAAGGGAGGTATGTGTGCGTAGGAGGAAGAGGGTAAGGAAAGGGGGGAGGAGGGTGAAAAGAATGTCTCCACAGTGTGTCACATTCCAGCCCTCTGCAGGATATTGTGTTTATTTACTTCTTTCACTGGCGGAAATGAGGTCAGAGGTGACGACTGCTGAAGTCTGTTATCTGTGCTACAACAAAGGGATGAGGGGTGACATACATTTAGGCCAACACCATACAGATGTACATCTAAAGAGCCACATGCAACATGTGCACGACTCGAAAGCTCCACAGCTATAGAGTTTAATTCATGTGAGTTTACAGACTGATACTTAGTTTGATTTTTGAACTGAGGTTCACATTTTCTGGTAGTTTATTAGGATATCTTTCATGTCCCCAAAGAAAGTCACTCCCACCAAAGGCTTTCTGTCTTTCATTACACACTAAAGCTGCAACGATTAGTCGATTAATCAATCAGTCGCTCAACAGAAAACTAATTGGCAACTATTTTGATAACTGAAAAATGGTTTTAGTGATTTTTTAAAGCAAAAAAGCCAAACATTTACTGGTTTCTTGTTTCTTAAATGTGACAATTTGATGCGTTTCTTTGTCATATATGATAATAAACTGAACAGCTTTGAATTCAGCACTGTTGGTCAAATAAAACACACAATTTGAAGATGTCACCTTGGCCTCTGGAATATTACACAGGGCATTTTTCACGTTTTTCTGACAATTTATTGACAAAACATAAAATTTTGGTTGCAGCCCTATTATAGATACATTGACGATCAAAACACGTACAAACACAAATACGTGGTTTTCTCATGAGTGGCACCACAGGCTGAAAAAAGCGAACCAAAGAGGAATAGGTATGGCAGGATAGAAGGGGGGACAGGTTTAAATCAAGCTCAGAAAGAAAGTTCCTCTCCCTCCTTAATCAACATGTATCAGCCCAACTACCCTTGTCACTGGGGAATAAAATTCAGACAACGAGACAGAATTCCAAGTTACTAATGTGCTTACCTGGTGAAATCACCTTTAGCCTCCTGTGGAACAGAAAGGAAAAAAGAAAAGTAGTGAGAGAAGAAAGTATTTACATATATGGATATGTGAGTGCCAAGCAGTGACCATAAAATGTGTGTTTATGTTCTGTTTGCATTGGTGAATGAGCAATCAGGTCTGCTGTGCTGGAATCAGAGAGAAACATTAAACCTCCATCTGGAGTGAAACCTCCGAAGGCCCACAGAGCAGATACCTGATACCGTGCATCTGCACCTGCATAGAAAGCACACACACAAATACACACGCGCGCACACACCCAAACCACTCAGCCCAGTCTGTGTGTAACACAACCTTGCAGCATCATTAGGACTGACCTACTCTGAGAAAGGGACAGGAGAGAGAAAGGGCTGGCATTGAGGAGAATTTGTGAAGTAAAAGAGTTTCCCTGCTGCTCTGTGTTATATTAGCACTGACTGGCTGCACCAAGAATCTCGCTGGTAGCCAAGAATGTTGCTACCAACAAAGACAGTTGAGGTTTTTAGGATTTGAAACCTCCGAGCGCCATTGCAGTTCACTGACAGATTGATGACTGCATTAGATAATGTGAATTTAATCATCCTCAATTATGACTGAAATAGATAATGTGAGTTTAATCAGCGTCAATTAGAATCAAAGGCTGCTGGAGACATTTTGAAAGAAAACATCACTGTTTCAGAAATGTTTCCTCTCAGAGCAGCAGCCCCCAGAATAACTGGTGTGTTTGGCTGCATACAGATATCCACCCAGACATCCACACACACGCAAACACACTTTATCTTACTTGTAGAATATAGGAAGCCAATTCGAAGACAACATCGCTGTCCACTTCAATAAGCTCCTGCGAGGAAAAGAGAAAAGAGAAGAGAGGATAGGGGCCGTGAATGACACATTCTCTTAGTTGCTGGCAGCAAGTAAATAAATAAAACACACACTGTGCCGATGTTTGCAGTAAAAGTGGACGTGCCTCTCTGATCATCATCCATTTATCCAAGAGGAGCTGCTAGCTCCTTTCATCTCCCTTCCACTCCCCCCTCCATTTTTCCTCTCTCCCTTCTCTAATTTCATGACCTCTTCATGTGGATGGAGCGCAGAGATTAGAGGCAAACTAAGGGGGAATGGGAGAGGGGGGTTTAGGGGCTGAGGGTAGGCATGGATGCTCTGGTTACTGACTGCTCAGTATGTTTTCCAAAAGTGTTTTAATTGTGTTTTTGTTTTTAGGTATTTGGGGACATGTGGACATTCCTGGGGAAGAGCTAAAGGAACGGAGAGTCTTTCGCTGCATGATAATTAGCGATGTTCTTTGTGCATGTAATCACCGACCATGAGTGTGTACATATACATGGAATGCTATGTCTGCATTGAAGAGGAGAAGGAGGGGGTTAGTGGGCAGTGAGTAGTGGGTCAAGTATGTCAGGAATGTTCCCTTTACAATCCACCACTTAATTGGTTGGGAGATCAGACAGCCAGGATGAAACACTAGACCGTACAAACCCACCATGAGTGTACCACCCAGCGTGGCTACAAATCGTCACATAGTGTGTGTTATTGCGCTTTATGCGTTCCCACAGCACGGCAGAGAGTGTTTCTCACTACAGAAGATGATCATACATCCTAAACAGCTGTATTTTAATGTCTGCGTATGTGCTATGTATCTTCTAAAACTACTATGTGACATTTCTGTTCTTGCTCTCTCCCTCCATGGGGTCGTCAGGATCATCTACCCCTGGAGCTGGTAGAGAGATCACTGGTGTTGAGCTGACGTTCTTATCAGAGTGACATGTGATAAATGAGCAGAGGGATCAGGTATCTTCGCCAAGGACATTTTCTCAGAACTACAAATGGGACTGAATCAAAAACCTTCCGTTTGTGGGACAGTCTATCCCCGACTACTTGGATGCCCTTTTTCAAGCAAATTTAGTACATACAGGCAGGTTTTTTTATACACAGGAAAACCCACAAAAACATAGGCGATACACCCTTGACAGTAAACAAGTATGCCTTTCTGTTCTTTTTTCCCCTGGTGTGTCACGTTCAACGTCACAAGTGTGACATACCAGTGAAAATGTTACAGTGCTTACTTCGTTTTGAATCAGTTACTTGATTAATCTCTCTATCAAACTTGGTGCTGACTATTTTGGAAGGTTGTTTGAGCACTGCTTAGACAGAGACCGATGGCGTTTGTGGCTGAAATGACAAAGAAATGTTAACGACGGTCGCACTGGACACTGGCGAAAATTAGTGTGTCCACCAGGCGGTCACATTTCAATCACTGCTGACTGACAATGGCACCCATTAAATACCCAAGACTGCCGCAGAATCATTTGTCCCGAGAATGAATGCTGATTAACTAACACTTCCCACTAAAGACAAAATCGAAATGTAAGTGGAAGTTAGTGGGGTTTTTTTGTCCAGTGGTAAAGGGGCTGTAGTCATTGTCAATTCTCAATGTTTTCCTAATGGACACTACAGTGAGCGAACGAAATCTGGCGGAAGGAGCACAAAAAATTGTTCAGATAAACTACAAGTGACGACAACATTCAGGGAGCCTATCGAGCCCTGATCAATCCTAAAGAATACCCAACTGTTGCTCTGAAAAAGGTGTGCAAAGCTTCACAAAAATAGAGCCAGGGTGAGCGGTTTTTCAAGCAAGTGACACATCGCTTAGCCTGTTCACTGATGCACGGAGCAAGTCAGAACAACTTCACTGGGAAAAACTAAATTAATCTGATGTTCACTTGTTCGCATCGCATCCAGTTCGGAAGAAATAAAAAACAGATCTTTAAATATGGAACAACTGGGCTTAAACTAGACAACCTAAAGCCACAAATGTTAACTTAATGTAAAAGGTAAAATTTACCCTACGACAACATTAGCTAAGGAAGGCACCCATTTATACCCCTTGCATACAGCATAACTGTGTATGATGCACTAAACTCAACACACTTTTGACCCAATTGAAACTTTAAACACTACAGGTGAGACATGTTGGCTCTCTGTTCACTGGGTCTTGTGACATCATCACAGTTCTCTACAGGGTTTTGACTGGGACATCTCTGCCCCATCATTTTCCTTCAGGCCAGGTACGCCCTCTTCTGGACAAATAACTGCTTGACACTTGCTGTACATTAACTAGGATACATTATTGTATATCTGTGCACAAAGGTAGCACTTACACAAATGATAAAAGAAAGTGAACCAGATAACTGACAAAGACAGTCTCCCCTCACTCCTAGCAAACATACAAACCGCCCTCTCCAAAGGGAAGTTAATCACTGGCTGTACTAACATATATTTGCCACTTTGCCTTTCCTTTTGGGCAGCTTGCTGTCGGTGTTTATTTTAACAGCTGAAAAAAATGTGCGTCAACACTGACAGATGGCAGAAATTGTGTCAAATTATTCGCCAGTTGCTGGAATGTGGCGCAGCACATAACATGATGGGTAACAGCTGATGCAAATGGTACGCATTTTCTGCTTCACCAAAGCAGCGTCGAGCACCGAAGTCCAAGCTGGCCTTCTCGTTTAGAACCAAAAATGGGGTAATGAAGTGGCACGACATCAAATCCTTTGCTCTACATAATTCTAAGTTGAAGTAATGTATACCCACCTCCACCTTCTTCTAGCAAACAAGCTTTTTAAGTCCAGAAAAACCTACCTATATTTGAAAGGCATTTCAGGATAGATCCACCCCTACATTATCACAACTCAGAAGTATTGGGAATATACATTATGGCAACATAATAATGAGTTTACCTTGTAGATGATGGACTTGGCATTAAGGAAAAACAGCTCAATAGTGGCATTATCCTTCAGGTAGGATATACTCTCTATGTAGAACCTGAAAACACAGACATAAAGGCTTTAATGCATTTGCAACAGCAAAGGGAACAATGGCATAAATTGACTTTCAGTCCTATGAATAAACTCATCGAGGTTTATGATCTATTTGCTTTCATGAATAAATAAATTATATAGGACGAATTAAACATGCAGACTATGGCAGTGTTGCAATGACCACAGTGACCAGAGGGGGGCACACCATACCAAAGGCTGACCCTGTGTACACCAACATCCTTTCACTTTAAACCAATTCCCTCTCTCACCATGGTGGTTGGCAATGATCCATGATTAGTTTGTTAGTGTGAGCACATTCCACAATCTGAACACACACACACACACACACACACACACACACACACACACACACACGCATTGAATGTGCACATGATGCACTTCACACATTGTCTGCCTCTCTGCATCATCAGCAGTGTGTAGTGATTCCACATGCACATACAGTACTTACACACAGACACACACACAGTGGCACATACTGGAGAGAGAAGCACAGTAACCCACTTCTGGCAGAGCGTTGAGGAGGACACACATAATAATGCAGTCTAAATTTAGCTCATGAATGCATGAAGAGCCAGAGGGGAGCTACGATGGTACACAGCTAGGAAGCTACTCATTACTAGCTCTTCTCTGGTGGAAACATACATTAAAATATAACATGTTAAAACACCTTCAGTAGCCTGTATAGCCTATTGTTATCCCTAATGTGACCTAAGCACATGTTCCTATGAACACACGTGAATGAGCGTGTCAATTTGTGTGCATATGAGTGTATAGGTATTGAGTGAGAGGGATTGTAGGAGGATCAATATTGGAGGGCTTAAATCGCGTTACCCATTGAGCTGCAAGAGAGAATGAGAGGAGCCTTGTCAATATTCAGTGTGAACATTTAATTAAAGCCACGGTGTTGATGACACACACACACACACACACACACACACACACTCTACCAGCACAGCAGCAAGCATGCAAAAAGGCACCCACTGAATCAGCAGGAGGTGGGCATCTGCCTAGCATTTATTGTTAACACACACATTGCACAAATACCACATGAGCATGCAAATACATGACGTGTACGCACCTGTGCGGAGACGGACACACACCCACACACACACACTCAACCTTACACTGTGCTAATGAAAACAATATGCTCCAACTGATAATGGATTCAGGCCTGACATTTGGGCTGATAGTTGTTCTATTATAATCCTGAATCAAGAGTACGCAGGTCTAAGAAAAAGGGTGGGATGTGTGTGTGAGGGGTGTGTAGTCAGTGTGACATTTGGCGAGATTGAGGTTAGAGATTGGACTGAGTGGCGAGAAAAAAAGGGAGGGGGGGGTGAGGCTTCAAAATGGTGTCAAAGTTCAAAATGTCACAGCACCACCGACACACCGTCAAACGCCTATTAGTCTCTGTAAATACGCACACTGTGACCCCCACTCTGACCGTCACAGACACACATACATGGTTGTTTCACATGGTTCTACAGCTGACCATATAAAGAAAGATGGTGAATGTCAGTGCAACCTAACTGAAATAGCGGAGATGGTTAAAACAGCAGTAACAGCAGCCACATATACTTATCTGCACATCTTCTGATTATATCATTCACGCTGCACAATAACACCATTGTTCACTAAACAGGGTGAACAATAAGTCTATGTGCTAAGAATACGATTTTGCTACACAGTCCCCTCATTGTGCCGGGACATGTGCTGAGTTGTAAATGTCGACCTGGAAATGACTACTCAGTGACATTGTCTGGCAGAGTAAATGTGCATCACGTTACTATGAACGTTGCTAGTCAAGACTCAGTCCCTGGGGTGAATATGACATCATAGCGATATGTTGGGGACAGAGTGCACCAGTGGACCAAAACAAAGCCCTTGCTCTCCCTTATGGGGGTATTAACTGAGAGTGCATGTGTGTGAGTGTGTGTTTGGGGCGGTGAGTGGGTTGGAAGGACTGAGTGTGTTTTCATTTGAGGTTTGGAAAGATCGGGTCAGGTGCGTGTTTCTCTTTGTCAATCTTTTCCAATTGGCTATTATTGATTAAACACCCACATACACACAAACGAGCGCATTTTGTATTTCTGTCATATCAACACACATGATCCGATGCCTGTGTGTGAGTCAGGAGTGTTCCATATGTGAGTGGGGGCAGTGCAAAAGGCTGAGTGAGAACTGTGGGATGGTAGGGTTATTTCATAACCCAGTCATAACAGATCAAAGAAGAGTTGGCTTTAACTGAGGAGATGACTCGAATTCAGCAACAGCAAGAGGAGCGCACTGCAAGGGCACATGCCTCATCACAGGATGAGTCAAGCACCAGTTTGGCATTAGATTGATAAGTGAACTTTCTTATCAAAGTGCTTCTGCATAAAAATATATGTTACTGATGTAGAGAAAAGATGGAGGAGAGGGTTCTCCCACTAAGAGAAAGCTTCTTCCATCTTGTTTAGAATATGGCACTTTGCAGTCACAGCCAAGCTATCTGACGTGATTGCATGCAGCGCATACTGATGAGGTCTAAGAGGCGCGTGATTGGCTGAGAGGCCCTGTGGCGGGAGTTAAACACCAGGGTCAAAGCAATTTCATAGGGGCCTGTCATAACTAACCTTGTTAATCTGTTCCTATTATCACATGAAGGCATGTGCGTACACAAACACACGTACAAGCACACGCTCTCCATCTTTGTTTGTCGCTTTCACACACATTTACTCCTGCAATCAGAGACCGTGGTTAGTGTAAGTGAGGTGATTAATTTAATAAAGAAAGAAAGACTCACCTGACACAAAAGTAGAGGACAATGGGACCAGACTTCTTGGGGAACTCGTGTTCTAATACCCTGCGATCCAACTGCAGCCAGCTAAAATGGCCCCTGATGAGACAAAAACAACAAAAAAACTGATCAATGCTGTTACTCAGACATGTCTGAACATCCTACACAGATACACAGAAACTTCATCTCATGACACTGAAAAACACTGTGCCCAGGAATGCCCTTTTGCACGAGTCTCTGCATTGTTTTTTAGGGAAGAAAAATCCTGCATAGTCTACCTTTAAGCCTCCCCATTTTTCTTTCTCTGTTACCATGTCTTCCCTTCTGTTTTGCCATTCTCCTCTCCCCCCTCTCTTCTCTCTTTTCTCTGTCCCCCTCCAACAGCGAGAAAAACTGCAGAGACAGCTTGTCACCCTGGTAACCCTGCATGGTCTCCTGAGCAACTGAGCAACATCTCTCTCAATCTCCCCCCTCCTTCTGTCTCTATCTCTCAATCTCTCTCACTCCTTCCCTCCCAAACGGCCTCTTTGACCACTGAGCGGTCAGAGCTCAGCCGTCTGCTCTCCCCAGGCACACGCAACAAATCTACACATCATAGAATTAGTCCCGGGGGACGAAGACTAAAGCAAAGCTGATATTGCTTTACTGGACTGACGCTGGCTACAGTATGTGTCACAGCCATGTAAATGCCATAGAGCAGAGGCCAGGGTTGTTTCGGCTTCAGTTGGTGCATGGGATAAAACAAAAGAAAAAATGAAAACAGAGGCCATGGTGATGTTTGCCTGTATGTAAATCATCTGTATGTTTGCATGACTTGTTCTGGACTATGCTGTGTTGCTGCCTTCTTTGTAGGTCACCAAACACAATAAAACTAATTTGAATGTCATTTTTGCATCTCAAGCAAAGCTGTCATAGCAATCCTTCTGACAGACATCGACTTGTGAACTTTTGCTATCCCAGAGCAAGACAATCATAACATCAAAACCCTCTATATGTAGGGATTCAGTTTATGGTTCAGTGTGATATTCATGACCATGTTATCTTGACTTGAATGAAGGTAGCCACCCCCTTACACTTGTGAGTAAAAGAGAAGTGAAAACTATAAACTGGATATCTATTTTTTTTAAGTCTAAGAGACATTTCATACCTAAATAAACAAAGGCCAAGTACACTGACGTATGTAAAAGCACAATGGAAATTCATCAGTACAAAAACAGGCCAAAACCAACAGCCACATTTTACTGTAAGATTTCTTAAACCATATGTAAAACTCAAACAATGCATTGGAAACTGGAGTTTTCATTGTGGTGCTTTTGTTCAAAGTGCAGCATCTTGTTAATGTTAACTCTTAAGTATTTCACAATAGCTTTAGGACTTGGAAAAGACACGTGGAAACATGTTGAAAGCAAAAATATTTCAAATAATAAACCCGAAGCAGAAATCATTTAAATGCGGTTTGGCTTTTTTGAAGTAACTGGAAACCAAAATTGCTACTACACATGATGCTCACAACTTGACAGAAAATTCTCAAATTCAGTCTTTCCACCTCTGTCATCTACATCCACAGCTGCGCTCACCATGGGGTCCTCAACATTAGATGCAAGAAGTTCACTTGTTTTCTAAGACTAAAGAAACACGAACATGATCACATACTGTACGCTCCCCTCCAGTGCCCTTTTGCTTTGTTTACCAGCCTAACGGTTGCACCTGAACTTTTTAACTGACTTTGCCTATTGTCTACTCCTAGTATAACATGTCCCATGTGTTGCTTTGACAAGTCTGTTGACAGAAAGTGGGTATCAAAACAGAAGTGTAACTGACAGTCTGAATGTAGTTACAGTGTTATGGAGCAGCATTGACAAGCCCAATCCAACAAACATGATAGCTCTGGGCTAATGATACACCATGTGCTGTGGCAGTTTTCAACGGCATTACTATTTGAGTGTGACTTACGTTTCGTCTGTATATGCAATTCCAAAGTACTCCTTCTCCTTGAGGTTGAAGTGAGAGGCCACGAGGTCCAGCAAGTCCTTAGCCATCAGCTTGGGCTGCAGGGAGAAAGAAATATTAGTATTATACTTCTTATGGTTTTATTCATCAGTTATAACTTTCACTGTGTGTGAGTGTAGCACCGTGACACCAAATTTGGCCTGCCATAGGGTGCTGGGTAGCACACCAACCATTTTCTAATTCTCAATGAAAATATTGAATAACACTGAGAATTTTTTTGTACTTTGGATGTAAAGTACGTGTCAGAGTGCATAGAAATCATCAACATGGAGCATGAGTATTGAGAAAAGCGCCAGGGAAGGATCCCGCAGACACCTGACAGAGGTCCAGACTGAGCCCCCAATGTCCTCAAATCCTAGAAACACTCATATCGGCCCCAATATCATCAAAATTGATGGATGAGGCGATCCTTTCCCTTTATATCTATTGCGACGCGAGCTACGTCATACGTCATATAGCGAAGGAGAGAATCTGCTGTGTGGAGGTATTTCACATTATTTCAACTGCTATTGCACAATTGTTTATTTTTGTTAAGAATAAATAGTTCATCATTGCATTAATCTGTTTAATCTTGTTTCATTTTATCTTAGGAAAGAACTGTGCAGTCATCAATGCCTGATGCCTCCAGTCTTTTCTGTTCTACATGTAAAGGTATATAGCTTTTTAGGTCAACCGTGGTATGGGTCGGTATCGGGCATCAGCTGATACTCAAAGCCACAGCATCGGGATCGGTGTCAAAACTGAAAAAGCTGGACTGGTGCATCTCTAGGCCATGTGAGGCTGATGCAACTTGATTTGCCTCTTGGCAAAGATGAGTGAGGACAGCAAACACTACAAGGTTGAAAACAGGCAATTCATATATTATATATACTAATAAACATTATTAATGTTGCTTTATTAAGTGGCCCATGGCCTCCTCTCGTTTTGCAAAAGTGGCCCCCAGGCAAAGCAAGCTGAGTATCCCTGGTATAATGGTTTATTGCACTGTAGTTTAATTGGAACAAGTACATGTGTGGAACTTTATGTTAATGTATTCTATCAGCTATTGATTTACTGCAATGACTAAGCATTCTGACAAACACTGGGGAAAAGAGCAAGAGAGGAGGAGATAAATGAGAGAGAGAGTGCGAGAAAGATGGATGGAGTGTGTGGATGTTGCTGACAGTGCAGGTACCCTGCCCTTCCCCTCCCTCCCTCCCTCCTTTCCGCCCGTCTGACCCAAACATCTACTGCAGAGTCATGGCTCTGGGCTCAACCACTGTATTGCAGGGAAGAGGGCTGCAGCTAGCATAAGAGCTTTCTAACTAGTTAATACTGTGGAGTACTGTCCAAGCTATATATGATGACAACCTCCATTCATCACGACGCTCAGAGCATGTAGAGCATCTTAGAGCCAAGCAGAGGCCGGGGACTGCTGCCATATGCTGCTGGTTTGTGACATCCTGAGGAACAGCACACCCCACCCTGAGGTTAACCATGGGTGTGCCTCACTGCCTACATTTTCATTACACACACGCACACACATACACACACACAAATCTGCATGCACATATGCACACAAGAGCTCGTACATGCATGCAGCCCACTCACAACACACAAGACAACACACAAGATCTACACATGTGCTGTGCTGTGTACATTTAGGATTGAGGAGGACAAGATGAAAACATACAGTGTGCAACCCTATATCCACACACTCACACACACACCATACAGCTACATGTGCCATAGTATGCACATTCTTAACAATCCCCCCCCCCCCGAGGACCTCTACTATCTACTCACTGCACAACTACAACTTCAGTGACAGAAGCTGCTGAGAGCTATTTAAAGAGAAGGAGGTGATGTCATGCACACAGCAAGCATACATACACACACACACACACACACACACACACACACACACACACACACACACACACACACACACATGCACACACACACAACTCCAATGACCTAGATCTCATATAAGCACGACGCCTACAGTGATCCTGCAACACAAAAAGGCTCTGGAGAGAATAGCAGCCACAGAGAGAAGCTTCTGTAACATATAGGCTGATTCTGCCTTATATTCCCATGGATCAGATTTATGTACCCGCTAAAAGTGTTAAATAAAAAAGACATGGCTACTGTACGAGCTGCTTCTGTCCCCATGTCCCTTTGATCTAACCCTACTACAAAATCCCACTGCTTTTTTAAAGTATCTAGAAGACTCTCTTACTGCTGTGTTTAGGAATATTGAGGTTATCATCAAAAGCAAACTTTCAAATGCATATCTACTGTAAGAATAATAAAGTCACCTCTATTAGCAAAGAATAACATCATGAATGTGCTACATTTTTATTCATATTAAGGACACATGCAGTTTCGTAAGTCAAGAGCAGCAACCTAAGTGCTGACTTCAAAAATATACTATGCAGGATTTTCCTAAAAAACAGTTTATAGACTCATACAAAATTAATCCCTGTCAATCTTTGCTTATAACCTGATAGAAGTGTGTGGCAATGAATTTATCTCCAGAGACTCTGCCCTCTGCCTGTACTATTTTCTTCTATTTTGCTGTGTTAGGGATGTTCCCGGGCACACTGTGCAAGTGAGGTAGCGACCAGGTGCCAGACTAGGGCTGCACAATGTATTGTTTCAGTATCTATGCTGCACTGTGTGCATGCACAATATTTGCATTGCAGGACGTGCAATGTCAAGTAAGGCAAATTAACTCAAACACTTTAGGCTACAACTTTTTGCTGCTTGACACAAAATGAGTTCTCATTTTCTATGACTTATGTCACCAGCCAAGTTTTCCCCTTTAAGACAGGTTAAAGGTGTCTGGCGGTATTTGTTATGGGAAGTCAGATTCTCCTGCATGTGAGTGTGTGTAGGAAAGTGCAGTAACAAGGCTGGCATGTACCACAGACACAGTAAAGCGCGTGCTTTTCCAAAGCTACATTAGTCAGCAGCAGAAACTATCTAGATAAGCTCAGGTTCCAGTATAACGTCTGTAAAAAGCACCTTGTTTTGCATGTGTTGCACATGGGAAATAGAACATCTCTTCAATGCAGTGTTATTTAAGGATAGACCGATACATCGGCCGGCCGATATATCGGGCCGATATTTGAGTTTTTTACTTGTATCAGCATCGGCCGATACGCGCATGGCTTCGCAGATTTATTTTTCCCTGGCACTTTTTTTCATTTGAAAGTATGTGGTTAATTTGAACAAAGCTGTTGAATCCTACTGTGTACAGTAGTTGTTGTTTTATTTATGCTTCAGCTTAAATATTTGTTTATTTTTATAAAGACATTACTGGAAGATTTAAGAGCACTGAACTCTTTTTTTTTATTTGAATGTATAATAATAATAATAATAATAATAATATTCTACCTGTTCTACCTCAACTTTCCATCTTGTTTTAGTATTTTTTACTGTTCAATAAATGTTTCTTATTTTAAACTTGAGACCTGTAATATTTGTTATCATTGTGTCATTTTTTTTTATGTAAATTGAGGGAGCAAAAGCAGCATCAGCCCCAAATATCGGCTCAAGAAAATCGGCAGTCCATAATCGGTCATCGGCTAAGGGTGATGGAAAAAAATCGGTATCGGCATTGGCCCTAAAAAATCCATATCGGTCTATCCTTAGTGTTATTATGACGTCTTCTTACCATTCTTCATCGCAGAGTTGCCGGACTGCAAAAGCAAGTTACCAGCTACGAGCCAGGCTAAAGCTAACTGAGTTAGCCTAAAGAAACCAGAAGTCTCCCAACTACAGTTCAGAGCTGAGAGGCTGGAAAGGTAACGTTAACACTAACGTCAAGCAACAAGAAAAGTCTGGCTGATAAACAGCCAAAGCACACCCCACTATTATTGATATGGCATGCGAGAGCATTGACTGTAGCCTGGATTGAGTATTACATGAACACGATGGTGTCATGATGAGTCAGCCAGTGCATTAAACTACCTAACTTCCCATCCTACCCCTAAGAAAAGTCTTCAGAGTCATCTAGTAAAAATTCCTGTATTTTTTCATATCCAATATATATCACAGAAAAAAAAGTAAGGCACATTCAGTTTTCTTCCAGTATCATGCAGCCCTATGCCAGACTGCAAGCATTAGCATCCAAGAGAAAGTTACAAAAATCGTGGAAGCAGCACAGACAAACACAAATACAGTGAGATGAAACCCAAGCGGGCAAAACTTGTGCCAAAACAAGCGTGAATCTAGGGTTGGCTTTTACTTTCATTTTTGCTGGCAATACTGTTGAAAACCAGTAACCATCAATTCCTGCATAGTATACCTTTAAGTCCTGAGCTGTGAGACAGGAACTGGTAGTCCGATCCACAAAGGCTCTGATAGGTTCTATTGTTTCTCCAAGTAGGAGAGCCATGATTCACGAGAGCGACACTCGGTCTCTTTGAAGTGCTTGGAAACATTTTAGATGTGGAAATTTTAGGTCTTGAAGCAGGCTATCTTTACAGTATTATCAATAATACATGTTTTGGTTCTGACTGAGACACACACAGTCATGGTCTCTCATTACCACGCAGCAGTCAACTGCCTTAGCAACAATATCAATTAAATGACATCTCTGCCACCACAGCATAACAAACAATGAGCAGGGGACAAACACACATGGACACATGTGGTAGACTGTTGGAAAGATGTTATGATACGAGGATGAAATGAGCCCCAGATACACTGTTGAACATCATATCAAAAGTGCACGACTGAAGATCAAAAAGAACAGAACAACCCCGGTAAGGTTAAGCTGAGCGTCTTGCCTCGGCATTGTAATGAACACCAAGCAGACTGTAAGAATTGCACAGGCTGCACTGGATAGTATAATTGAGTTTGGTTCTCTCTCTTCAAGTGATGACTCGCTTCCACACACATCCACACATCCTACAGCTTATCTGTGAAACGGCAGATACCTTACGGATGTGTAATAATGTTGTGGAAGATACCAACAGTGATACAGAAGGTGACTGACAGGTAATATAGAAAGTGATATGGCACACTTTACACACACACACACACACACAATAACTGAGACACACACATACACAGACAATGCAAACACACACACACACACACACACACACACACACACACTACGGAGCCATCTATCAGACAGCAAAGCTCTCTGCTAGCTTAGACAGCATTACTGCTAATAGACATTTAGCTGGTGCCTCCTCAGCAGCACAGGTAATTAACAGCGTAAGAATTACAGGGAGGTGCAACTGCAAATGAGGAGGAGACATGCTAAAGCAAACCCCCCAGACAAGTGACAAACACACAGCAGTAGCTCACTTGCCTGGCTGGCAGAAAGTCACGACCCAATCTCTGCAAACAGCTAGTCAGGCCCTTGGCGCCTTCAGGATTGCTCAGATTTATGGGACGCTAACTGATTTATCAGGAAGTCCAAGGGGGGGTAAGGAAAAGGGGTTTTGGCCACATGCTCTACGTGGTTTACTATTTTAACTTAAACTCTGTATGCATACGTATGCTGAACCATGTTACATTAAAACCCCGAAGTGTCCAATTATTAACATAGAGCTCTTCATATAAACACCGGCAACAAGGAGCGTTACGCAGGTTCATACCACATTCACTCTTTAACCTACACCATTCTAGCCTTAGGGAGTGATAGACATATGACTGACATATATTTTCACCCAGTGGTGCATTTGGTGGTTAGCTTCAATCTTTACAGCATGGTCAATAGGTGTGTTGGCCTTCTGGCACATAGTTCCCTGCCAATGAGGCGTTGCTCCATAAACAAACCACAGAGGACACACTATCAAAGTTAGGAGGAAGGGGATGAGGAAGAGGAAAAGGGTGAACGACACTTTTGGGATTAAACAGCTGGTCAATGTTACAAGTCAGTGACAGAAATAAAATCCAACCTTTCAGAGGCTATCTGGGTTGTGTGCTTGGCGTGCTACAGGAAGTTAAATGAAAGCTGCAACAGGAGTGACCTGACCACACTGCTGTTAAATGATCAGTGAAGAGATTAAATAGCTCGATGGAGTGTGTAATGTCTTAATATTTGAGACACAACTGTTTGTACTGTGTATGAATTATGATCATTCCTTCAAGGAATCCTTTTTTTGCCAACGAGCCGACATCCTGGCTGCTTCTTTGTTCACCGGAAGACTAAGAATAACATCCTAATTCTCTGTGGTCCTACTAAGAACTCACTGGCCTTCTGTACATCTGCCTGATGCAGGGAAGCGAGGACAGCGAATGAGACAAGGACAAAAAATGGCAGCAGTATCCTGATTTATGTGACAATGGTTGGTTAATAACATCCCCTCTTCCGAAATGCCAAACTGTAAAAATACCATTTGTACATTGTGTATATTTTGTGGTAAACAGAACAGATTTTCTCACTCACCACCTCCTAAATTATCTGCAAGACTCCTTACATAAAACAAGGATTACTGTAATGTTTTTAATTCAACTTTTCAACTCTCATTTAGTTTTATTTCCCTTGTTATTTCCTTTTTTTGATGGCCAAGAAGATGAAGAATGATCAGAAGATAGGATGGATGGATGAGATATGAAGCTGTTGCAGCTGTATTGGAGATTTAGTACAGGGTTCCACTTCCTACAGCTTAGGGCAAGTTAGATTTAAGGTTTTTAATGCCACTCGGAATACATTTTAGAATCAATTTTACCATAATTAAGAGGGAATAAAACATGAACCTACATCAGTTACTCAGGATTAGCAAAAAAATGACCCAAATGTTTATAGTAACATAAAACATGACTCTTTACTGGCGGGTTTTCTTGGTGAGTTTGTGTTTCTTACTCTGCATGTGGGGGGTCTCCACTGCCTTGATTCCCACTGTGCTTAGTTTAAAAAACCTTTTGCATAGAGTTCAGCGGGCCTCATATGCATTTACTGATAGTGGTTTCAGCAATGCCACCAAATCTTGAGCCCCTTTCACACATGAACTGCAAACATGAGATTATCTAAACTTCACCTGGAGGAGCTGTATGTGAGAATGAAAATGTCTGAATCAGTTAGATCAGACATTAAATGGACTTTACCCTGCCAGCTCCTCAGTACAATGTCTGTTTACGCTCCTGTCCGATTCGGCCCACAAGCAGGTAATTGTCAGAAGATTTCACAGCGAGCAAGTGGGCGCGTTCATGGTGTTTCTATCGTGGGACTTGCAGAAGACCTCAAGGAAACAAACATTCACGGGTAAAGAGGAAGGGTAATTTACAGGAATATGCTGGAGAGATGACAAGATTCAGTAACTTCTGTCTGTAAGGGCCGATGCAAAAATCAACAGAATTTCAGAAATAGCAAGAGACTTTGTTGTTTATGAACACATTTCTAAAAGGCTACAAGCATGCAGTGGAATCCATATCATGTCCGGCCTCCTGCACTCTCTACCCAGGCGACACCCCTCACCTAAACCAAACTGAGTACTTCCAGTAGGTGACAACACATTTGACATGGACAATGCCTTGTTCTGAGTTCATGTGAGAAAATAGCTTTGGTTATATAGCAAGTTTTCGTGGAATGTGCCCTTCCCCATGCCATCCAGGGTACAGTCACAGCTAGCTAGACAGTGGATCCTCAGCTCTGAGCATCCTAGCTTGAAACAAAATACATGCTGGTTCCACTATCCTGATCTGTGTGATGTTAGTGCAAGAGGCATTCTGTAAACTATTTTAAAAAATAATAAAGAAATAAATCAATAAATGCTACAAATAATTTTGTGATTTTACAATGCAATGTCAGAAAAAAAAAGATTCCTAAAATCCTACATCCAGTGTCTTGGCATTTTTGAGACTTTTGGAAGATTGATTTAAGTCAACTTAATACCAATTAAAGCCTTATTTTTAGATTAATCCAATGCCTTTTAAGACTTTTTAAGGATCATTAAGAACCCTGTAGTAGGAGACAGAGCCGGGGCAGGTGAAGGCAAGCAAGGAGCTGAGGAAAAAAGATATGGAGAGTGAAGAGTGGAAAGTCAAGAGAGATGGAGAGAGAGAGAGAGTGGAAGAGGAGCAGAAAGAAGTACCAATTTGAAAGAGAGGATCAGTTCTGGCAGAGTAATCAAATCAGAAAGTCAGCAGACCTATCCTCGGCTCTCTCCTCCATTTTCTCCTCTCTATTCCCATCCCTTTAGTGTCATCTCCCGTCTCTCCATTCCTGAGCTCTCATCTCACTTTTCTCTTTCAGTCTAAACCTCCTGTCCTGAGCTTCTGCCTCAATCTTTCTGTTTTCTGCTCTCTTCATCTTTTGTTCCAGGGCAATTACCTTCTTTAGTCTTTCGCTTCTTTCCAGTGGAACTGGGTAATGGTCAAACCCAAAGGGGGCTAAGGGAGGTTAGGAAGAGTGGAAGGAGCCTCGAATGAAAATGGTTCAGACTTTGAAGCCAAACCATGAGAGGGGTCTTACTGATGATGAAAGTGAATGTCATCAACAATCAATGAAGGAGAAGAGGAAGTGAAGGGACAGGTTACTGTGCAGAGGGCCACACAACTTATTATCAACTAAATCCCCTACCAATAAAATGTGTCTTAATGTATAATATTAAAATGCTTCCACAAGTGTAAGGTATAGAACAGACAAGAGCAGATTTATAGTGGCAAACAGATGTCTAAAAGGGGTAGGGGCTTAGAACTGCAAACAAAGGAAAGACCAGTGTGCTTTGGGCGCTGCTGCCTTTGGCCATTACTGCAGCAGAAAGGCCTGCTGGGAGGATTGAGGCTGGAGGGGGGGGGGGGGGGGGGTGCATACTGCTTTGTTTTTCCAAGACGTTTGGAGGATAGGATGAAGCATTGTCAATTACACAGAGAGTCTGGAGGATAAGAGGGAGCATTGTCAATTGTCAATAATTAGATGATTCTGGGCATTTCTGAGGCATTCTGGGAAGGCAGTAGGGATGGGTGATGAAGAACGTGCAGTGAAGCATGAATTTATGGGAAGAAAGAGTTTCTATTTAGAATATTATTAGGACTGAACTCTGTATTGGGATACAAAGCTTCTACAGAGACAGTAAATCAGGGTAGGATCTGCTGCACGCACGCTTGCGTGTGTTCTTGTGTGTGTGGGGAGATATCAGGTGAGCATCAAAGAAAGAGCAAAGTCACCTACTGCTGACCGAATTCCCCCTGGTCAGCAGTAACTGAGTCCCGTGGGACATCAGACATCACTTCTCCCTCGCTCTAAGGAAATGGGAGTCCGCAAAGAGAGAGGGAAGAAAGAGAAGAAAGAGCGAAAGGGTGGGAACATGAGAGACTCACCTGTACAAGGAGCTCCAGCTTCCTGTCGTCCAGGAGATGGACCTGACATCGCCTCCCCTCTGTCATCTGAGAAAAAGAGACAAAAAGGGACGCTTGTTTATATATTGCTGACAGGTATTACACGTTATACTGTTACATATCAAAAACAGGCTTTCAAATGGGTCTCCACTGAGGCCAAATACAATGTACTTATATTTCAAAAAACAAACTAGATTACAATTTTCTTGGAGGATTCTGATTTGGGATTTTTTAAAAGTCTGACCTGCCGATTCTAGTTTGGGCCAAAGATCTGAATAAGTTGCTCAATTTGTTGCTAGTTGCTATTTCGAAATAAAGGTGCTAAGAGGATCTGAAAAGTCGCCGTGACAAAGCATCGACATCTGACGATCTGGGAATGAGAACAATACTTGGTAACTGTCTATGCCGCTGTGCACGTGATGGAGCACATGCATGTAAATCTGAGCTGGACAGAATCGGCTGTATCTGTGACTGAGCAGCAGGTCACCCGCCATGGCCGATCAAGCTGAAAATTGGCCAATTCCAACAGCCAGCTGATCAATCGGTGTATCTCTATAACAAACAAAACAATATGATGCATCCAACAGCAACTAGTACAGAAGATATGTGTTGTATAACAAGCTTGGAGTGTGCATGTCTTATCTCAGTGTAGTCTTAACAAGGTTAGCTTAGCTAACTACACAATGGGCCAACAGAGACAGCGTGCTGCACTGCTCTTTTCCTAACTGACATTTCTTGCATTCCTCCTTAAGCAGGAAATCCATTATCCATCAGTGGACTACAGTGACCACAATGAGTCAAGTTGCCTGCTGACAATGTTCACTCAAGTGTTTGTCTGTGCTGTTGACACAAGGTTTGCTGAATAGAGCTGCGAAAAACTGATAATATCCGTCTGCCAGGTTCAGGCATAAACACCGAAGCAGGTGCAATGATGAAACAGTCAACTGTGGAAAATACGCGCCACATACACACAAGTTAAACCAAACATTTCATACAACCGACAAAGCCGAGCCGATTCTCCAGACCTGTCTGAAAGTTTGCTACTGCAGTGCATGATAAAATTCAAGCGGATCTGGGAAGTTTAAAAATTCACAGCAGACATCATTTTAAGAAGAGATGTACACAGTGTGCCAGAGTATTCAACATGTTTGTGTCTGTTTTTGTGTGTGTGCTGGTGTTTTCAGCACATGTGCTTCTCTACAAGTTTGCAGGAAGCGGGGACCCTGAGGAACACAAACACCCCCTGGCTCCTCCCACACTTCCCTCACATCTGGGAGATGGGGAGGGAGACCAGGGGGAGGTGTGTGAGTGGGTGTATGGAGGGGTAAGAAATGTTTGAGAGGGAGTGGGGACAAAAGAGGAGGGGGGACATCCTCATTGTCAAACATTCGATGAGAACTCCCTCCAAAACACAGATGCTATAAACATGAGCACAAGCGTAACCGGTTTGTAACTCTTCACTACGAGGATCATATTGGCCACCTGAGGCTCTTGCAATTTGGTAAGGGTGTGTCCACAACATGAGTACTACATACTTTCTCACCACTCATGCCAGCTTGCACTCGGGTGGCGAGTTGGAGGTGGGAGTTTAGCAGAGAGCTGAAGACACCGAAGAAAGAGAGGGAGGCGAGTGACAGAGTTGTGTCTCTACACTCATCCCTGTGTGAACTCTGCTGAATGATCACTGGATGTTTGTGTGTGTGTATGTGTGTGTGCGTGTGTCTGTGGCTTCTTGCTACTTTGAAGGGGTCGGTTTACCCTCCCACTCACCATTGATCTCCTGTGGTTTGAGGGTTTAGATTGGGTGCACCTGTGCACACAGTGACAGACACACACATTTTTCAACACTGGCTTTTGGTTTTTTTTTTCTCCCACCCTCCTGTCTTGGAGTTACATTACCTTTCCAAAACTCTCCGTGTTTATACTGTATACACTGATTTTAATTACTGCCATGACAACTGAGTAGAAGGTCAGTAGTGCTAACATGAATTAATTCTAACAAAACATAGATAATATAGCAAGTAGAGCTGCGACAATTAATCGATTAATTGTCAAATATAAAATTAAATGCCAGCTTCCAGCTTCTTAACTGTGAATATTTTCTAGTTTCTTTGCTCCTCTGTGACAGTGAACTGAATATCTTTGGGTTGTGGACAAAAGGAGACATTTGAGGATGTCATCATGGGCATTTTTCACCATTTCACCATCTGTTATGATGAAAATAAGTGGTGGTTGCACCTCTAGCCAACTGTAAAGTAATTGGACAATATGCAAATGTATTGTTTCTGATAACATTTTGCAGGCTAAACAAATTTTCTTTCTCTATCATTAAGTATGCATATGTGATAGAAGAGAGGGCAAGACTACAGCCATCATCTTACTTTAGTATCTTGTCCGCAGAATACTTTAAACTGCAATGCAGACAGTGTATATATACACACACAAGTACACAGGCTCACACTGGCACTCTGCTTGAGGCACCTGGGAGTAGTACAAACCTTAATGTCAAGGTAACAAATCACTGCCTGGAGGCTAAAATTAGGCAGCCCAATCTGGCAGAGACAGACGCTTATTGGTTTTAGGCATAAAATTCACTTTGTGGTATTGGACTTACGCTGCTGAGTTTCTATCCACCATGAAACCAAATGTAATAAAGTTGCTATGAATAGCTTCATGTCATTACACGGCGTTGAACAAAATAGAGAATGTGGAATATTGCTGCACTGGTTAGACAGAAATTTCACAATATTTGCAAAGACTTTTCAACATGAAAAGAAATCACTGGATATATTTACAGCATCTTGAGCTCTGTTGCATGCTGTAAACATTGCATTTCAGTGTAGCTGCACAGACATGGGGTAGAAACACATGTGGCACTAGAAACAACCCTTATCCTGGTGTGTGATTCATGCTGTACGCAATCCACCAACATTTCTGACCCATTACCAGTCACGTTTTAACTGGCTAACTTGCATCCCCAGGCCTGACTCATTGGCAAGAAACGGTGAAATCAAACAGCCAGGAGATGAGAATGAACAATGCATAAAGCAGCCATGTTCACAGCGTTTCATTATTCCCCTGGTGCTGACACCAAAATTACAGAGGCACACACAAACAAGACAGTTGACAGTGATGCTTTGGTCAGTGCTGGCGACGGCAGCAACGGTATCATTAGTTAATTACCTTGCAAACAAACGCTCCCTGCGAGGCTCCCACACAAAAACCGGCTCCAAGAGGGGGAGAATAAAAAAATAAAAAACCCAAATTATTAATCCCAGAAAGAAACGAGTCGTGTGCCTGCCAGAAAACCGTCAAAAAACACCCCTTTTCCCGGCCGGCCTAGGGGAGGAGGCACATCAGCATCCATGTTAGTGACCATTTAGTTAACGTTAGTTACAAGCGACGCAGCTACACTGTATCTTCCCAGTATCCTCTAAACACCACACAGACGGTGTATCCTCGCCATTTAAAGGTAGAGATAACTCGGTGGTGATTAGCAGCGACAGAAAGCGTTTTCCAAGGCTGGCTCCTTTCCCTTCCTCCCGAAAGCAGAGAGCTTCTCACGGGGCTAGTCCCCGGTCGACCAAACCCCCCTCTCGCTACCGGCACCGTGCACAAACGGTGAGTGAACGTGCGGATAGCAGGAGACCGTACCAACGGTCAGCAAGCAAAGGGGGACGACCGGAAGAAATGGCTAAAAACGGTGGACTGTAATCCAGCCTGCCTGCCTTCACTTGCCAGCTATGTTTCTCGCTGTCATCGGAGTTGCTTCGAAAACACGGGAATAATGGAGGCAAGATGTGGGGGCGGGGAGAGGAGGAGATGAGGGGAAATTTTCTGCAGCAGCTCGTAGCCATGAGAAACTGCAGACCTCTCTCTCTCTCTCTCTCTCTCTCTCTCTCTCTCTCCCTCCGTGTGCGTGCATGTGTGTGTGTGTGTGTGTGCTTACAAACCCAAACAGACATCTGTGTCTGCAGAGCACACAAACAGTCTGCTGCCTTTAAAACAAGTGATGCACTGCTGATACATAACAATGAGCAGTGATCACTGTCTGCCTGCTTTATTAAATCAGCTGTGCTTTAAGAAATGCAGGCTTTGTTCCCTTGAAAGACCCTATCCTCGCCTGACATCACTTTGGCTGTACATTTATATGCCAAGCATGGCTGTAGTCTTCTGTTCAACATGGGGGGACCATTTTCAATCAACACCTTCTGACTCCACACTTAAATATCTTTAATCAAGGGTTCTGCAAGTTCTGGTGACCGAGTGCCATTTTTGGGAGCCAGAATATAGCCCTTTTTAAACCGAGATTGCGCTATACAGCTGATACAAAGTCCCTTCTTCATACCTCCTTTGCATTTTTACATGGGTGTGACATGTACCACAACATCGGCCTCTAGTGTCACAGATAACACACACATTGGCAGCTCTTTATAAACAATAACAATAGCATAGCATGTCAATCACAATCATTTACCATCTCTTATATATGGCGGCTGATCTCGCCCCCAATTTGTAGACATTTACAGCCACTGTTCTTTCTCTTTGAGTTAGACGCTAACTGCTAACAGCTGCTTTATAAATCTTCTTTGGTGGGTTGCCGACATAATACGTAATCAAAAAGTCACATCTGTTACACATCTTTCCGGCTTTACATTTTACACAGACCTTGTTTCAGTGCTGAAACTACCTCCCTGTTCCTGGCTCAGAGGCGAGACAACTCTGTCCCGCTTTCCGCAATCGCACCTTGCATACAAATCGGCAAGGCAGCATAACGGCACGATACTCCCACCTTGAACAGGCAGTGTAAACGTGGCTTCTGATTGAGGACCACACAGGACAAGTGCATATATTGACTTTTAAATGACTTTTTTGTCACCATAAAAACACTTGACAAAAACTATAAGAGTCAATAGTGATATAGCCTACATGACATATTCATATTACATTCTAGTTTTCCACTTTTTAATGCAATGGAAAATAATGAAATGGGTCTTCCCTCCAATATATATTATAATTACAGTGCCAGGCCGTGTGTGTTTTGATAGATTTCCATAGGCCTGAAATGGTTTCTGCTAAAAAGTATTCAGTTCAGTTAGACCTCAACATCTCTCTCTCCCTCTCTCTCCAGCGTGTCACTTCCTGTCTGCTCTTTTAAACACACATCTCCTTGCTCTCAGGTTTGGCTTGCTTGAATGATTTTTGGCCTTCAGTCCACTGCAGCCGTTGAACTGACTCTCGCTCTCCCTTTTTTTTTTTGTATGACCTAAATTGGGCACTTGTGTTCACCTTACACAGCCGGAGCAGCAGCCGTTGAAACCACCAAGTTGTTAACACAACAAAATCAGTCCAGTTTTTGGTACCATAAATAGATACTAACGTGTGCTGTGAAGGCAGGGCTGAGCCTATACCTACTGTCAATACAGTCGTGGAGGTACTCGGCAAGCGTAGGCTAGTCTGTTCTCTATTATTGTATTACAACATGAGTAATCCCCATGTTATGAAAACAGTGTGAGGCCACATGTAGCACATGTACAGTATGCACACATACGTAGTGTAACTTCTGTGGGGCTGAAATTATCAGGGATACTTGACCTTGTCTTGTCTTGTCTCAAGGCCAGAGGTGGGACCAAGTCATTGTGTTGCAAGTCACGAATAAGTCCCAGTCTTGACTAGAGACTTGAGTGCAAACTTGTGCTCAGTAATATAATGTTAGTTCTTCTTGGTTCTCTCCTACAACTTGACTGGATGCTTTTGGATTGGTTTAAACAAAGTGGATCTGGGGATTTAAGTGTCATCTTGCTGGGAATGAATGGCAATAATTTCAGCTGATTCAGGAAATGAAGGGAACATGAATTGATTTCTGGCACACTTTATTAATAATATACTTTATTGTGCTTGAGGGTGGGGGTGGGGTATCAAGTATTTTCAAGTCAAAAGGCTCAAGTCCAAAACAAGTAATGAGTCAGTGGTGTTAAAGTCCAAGTTGAGTTGCAAGTCTTTTTGGCTTTAATCAAGTTAAGTTTAAAGTCATCAAATTTGTGACTCCAGTCTGACTCGAGTCCAAGTTCTGTGATTAAAGCCCACACTTCTGCTAAAGACAATCTTAACTTTTCAGATAGTCTGTGTCATAAATAGCTTGCAGTTTGAGCCAAATGCAGTTGCACCATATTTGAAATACGACCAGCAATTTATAATCCTAAATTTGCAGGATTCATCAGAAATACTCTCTTCCCCAGACATTAAGCAATACGAAGATGCAATTAAATTTAATGTGCTTGGCTTGAGCAGTTTTGTTGCTACCATAGCTTATGCTGCAGGCCCCAAAATTCAGCTTAGTTTGCTGAATGTAGAAGGTCACATGAGAAACGAGGAGGTGTATCCTTTCCCCTCCCTGCTGGATTTTTCTGTTTCTGGATATTTTTGGCCTGTTCCAGACACCGGAAACTGGCCTGTCCAACTTAAACATCTCCAGATGACTCTTGCTTTGGCTTTAATACATACACCCGTCCCTCCTTCACTTTCTCCGGTCAAATACATATCTCCCTTTATTGGTAGCTTCCTCAGTTTGCTATCACAAGGGCCCCGTTGTTTGACCAGTGGAAAGGAGGGAGACAGAGGGGGACAATGCAGGCAGAGGGGGGAAAAACTGACAAGGACAGAGGAGGACTAGTGCAGTAGGAAGATCCTGAACACTTAACTACACGAGTTTATGAATGATTGTTCCTGTTTGGAATGGACGTGAGTAGCTGAATGAGAGGAAGACAGATGACCAGAAAAAGCCAGAGTGGAAAAGGAAGGCAAAAAGGAAGCAAGGCAGGAAGGAACAATAACAAACAGCTGTGATTTAGTGAGCCTCTTTGTCCGATGCCCCTTAACTTCTCTATACATACTCACCTTTCAGTGACCTGCAGACTGTGTTTCCAAGGTGAGAAACACTTGTAGGTGTGACATATCTGGGCCCTGACAGAGCCTTGTTAAGGAGCCAGTGGGCTTCTATTCCGGGCTGAGGTGTGGTCTTAATGAGGTGCTGATCTGGTGTATTTCAATGGAGAAGGGCTCCAAAGGGGATAGATCTGGATGGGTGAGGTGGGTTTAACAGGCGCAGGGTATTAGAGTCAGGTTTTAGGGTCGAGCAGGGGAACAGGGTTGATGGTCTGTGCTGGAAAAGGTAACCTATATTGGTGGAATGTGATATAAACAGCGCCGAGCGGTTAATTGAAGCAAGATGGAGAATCTCTTTAACCCTGACTGTGGGACGCTGTGGTAGGCAGTTAAGACTGACACACACACACACACACACACACACACACACACACACACTTCATGCTCTCTGTCTTGCTCTATCTGTCTTTGTCTGCATCTCCCTCCTATTTATGGAGACTAAACAAACACACACTCTTAAACACGTCACTTTGAAAGCGAGCATGGTCTGACACAAGCGGTCCTACGGTGATTTATGACGCTGAGATCATTGTAGCTGAATAGGCTTTATGACTCGTCGTCAGTTTTAATATAACACTATCTGCATGTGGTGCAGATTAGATTACAACACAAGATTCAGCAAAACACACTGTGGCTCTCAATACTCTACAGTTTCAGCTGAATGGCTTATTGAAAACCTGATGGAAAAATAATAGCAGGGCCAAATCCATCTTCTCCAGCCACTGCTCTGTGTAGCGGCAGAGTGAGACGGAGCAGGGAGGGTCATGGAAAGGCAGCCAGGAATGTCTAGAGCAACGACTGACCGGGAGAGATCTGTTTTGTTTGCTCAAGTGTGTGTGTGTGTGTGTGTGAGCTCCACCCTCCCTGCCCGTGAGTGACTTTGGGACTGAAATGTGGTTCCAGTTAGGGCGTTTTTTAAAATCAGAAACACACTGGCACTTCAAACAAACTGGAGATATTTTTGTAACCAACTCTGCTTTCTTCCCATTTTACTACAAAGCACCATTCCACGACTTTACCAAAAAAAAAAACCTTTCTCCGTTTCCCCACATTTTTTCCCTTTTTACATAAAATCACAACTTTCTCTAAAAATGACAGACGGGGATGCTTATGAATTTCAAATACTACATAGGTGCTTTTACTGGCAACGTCGCTGTGAGGTGTTTCAGTAGGCACAATAAAGACACCAGAAATGGTGCTTTATAGTAGATTCTGTGTGATCCAAACTTCAGCAGTGCTGAATTCACACAAATTCATCTACGCCTCAGTTCAAATTTGCTGTCATATGCATCCAGAGGAGCCTCGATCCCCGATGAACTGCAAGGAAATCAGGCATGGCTCACGCTCAGAAGTCCCAGAAGATGAACAAAAGTTGCTTCCTACATGTGCACTACACTTATATAGTTTGCTATAGATGTGGGTGGGAACTGATAAGACTGTATTGATACCAATGCCTATTGATTCTACTCATTGGTCCTATTTTTTTTATCAACTTCTTAACTGATTCCTGATCAAGTACCATGTGTTGGTACATTAAATTTGAATATGTCTTGCAGTGGGCGGCACGGTGGTGTGGTGGCCTCACAGCAAGAGGGTTCCTGGTTCAATCCCAGGAGGGAGCCCTTCTCTGCGGAGTCTGCGTGTTCTCCCCGTGTCAGTAGGTACTCCGGCTTCCTCCCACAGTCCAAAGACATGCAGGTTGGGGATAAGTTAATTGGTGACTCTAAATTGTCCATAGGTGTGAATGGTTGTCTGTCTCTAGGTGTCAGCCCTGCAATAGTCTGGCGACCTGTCCAGGGTGTACCCTGCCTCT